TGTTTTGTTTTTGTATATGTTAAGGCACTGTCTAATAACAAGTCAACTTCTTGGAGTGGGTCCAGAGGAGGGCCACTAAGATGATCAGAGGGCTGGAGCACCTCTCCTATGAAGAAAGGTTGAAGGAACTGCACTTGTTTAGCTTGGAAAGAGAAGGCTCCAGGGCCTTCCAGTACTTGAGGGGAGCGTATAAAGAGGAGGGGAATGGCTGATTATGAGGGTTGCAGTGCTAGGACAAGGGGGAATGGTCTTAAACTGAGACAGAGCGGGTTTCGGTTAGATATTAAAAGGAAGCTTTTCACACAGAGGGTGGTGATGCACAGGTTGCCCAAGGAGGTTGTGGATGCCCCTTCCCTGGAAGCGTTCAAGAATTTCTGTGGAGACAATTCACCCAAACTATTATGATGATGTCAGCTTACAAGCTGTCTTTTTGGTGTAACGTTTAAAGGGTACACAGCTTCAGTTTTAGAAGAATGAACTGTACTCTGAAGGATCTATAAGTTTTCAAAAAACAAAGAAGAAAAATATTTTTTTAAGAAGTTATAGGCCAGGGAGAATTGTTAATCAGAGTTGCAGCTGTGACAGTTCTCTTGAAGTTCTGTTTGAAATGACGAGTGATATTTACCATTGCAGTTTTCTTTTACAACCAGTGAAGTGCAGGCTGGGATAATTCTGTATCACTTCCTCCTTAAATTAAAATGTATGCCTTAAAAATTAGTAGTTCCTTTGTTTAAAAATCAAATAGCTAGTGTAGATAATGTCTTAACTGTGTTTCAGTTTTCTCACTAAGTAATTTCTATATTACAATTATTTGGAGAGACTGGAGAGTAGCCCTGCTAAAGGGATCTGGGGGTACTCGTTGACAGCAAGTAGAACAGGAGCCAGAAGCGTGCCCAGGCAGCCCAGAGAGCCAACTGCACACAGTGGGCACAGCCCCGAGCTGCTGGATTTCATGCAGCATTTAGGCACTTGGACTGGATATTCTTGGAGGTCTTTTCCAACCTTGGCAATTCTGTGATGTGGAGAACATTTCAGACACAGTGTTGGACTTTGGGTGGTGCTGTGTGGAGCTGGATTCGATCACCCTTGTGGGTCCCTCCCAGCTTGGGATGTTCTGTGTTCTTTTTTTGCACTAATACGGTATTCGCTTTCTTCCAATCTCCTTATGCTTTCTTAAATATTCAAGAAATGAAAATTAATAGTCTATAATATGACTTACATATCTTCCTAAATTCTTGAATTTCAATTGATCTGCAGGTTTAAAAATATTTACTAGAAGAATTATTCACATTCTTTGAGATACTGTTGGATTGCAAAGTATTTTCACCATGTAATTTAGGTGTTATTTAACAAATGTGACAAAATAATTGCTAGGCACTTTTATTTTTTTTTTTTTGTATTTTTCTTACTTCTCTTGTATGTTCTTACTGATTCTGGCATTTTCGTTTAGTATGGGTCCAGTAAAACAATGGAAAAGATTTTTATTATTTGAAATAAACCCCATCACCTTCGATTAAGCTATCTACGTGGTCTTCCTTATCCCCAGTGCTTATTTGTTTTTCTTATCAATTTCTTACAATTTAAAACTTCTGGTTTTATAGCCACTATTAAGAAAAGTCTCCCATTATGTCACCTGAGCTGGCTGCTTTCAGTTCTTTCTGGTTGTTGTTTAGTGAGCATCTGAGCCAGGAGTACAATGTGTTGCTGCAAAGACGAAATCTCATTCCCTGCCCCTTCTTAGACGAGGTGTTTGCCAGACCCTGATGCTGGCTAGCCTAGCATATATCTGATTTATGTCTGGTCAGTGAGTGGAGTTGGCTCCCAGGAAGGTACAAAGCGTGCTGGAGCTGGTGCAAGGTGTAGTGAGTGAAGAGAAGCGTGGCTTCTGTGTTTTGGCAGTACCAGGCTGCCCAGCTGGTGCATTGTGAAGCTGTGTTCTACCTGAGTTTAGTTGTTTTTAATTAGCATAGAGATGTCAGTCATGGATTTGCTGCTTTATAAGCATGAACAAAATCTCAAGTTGACCTTGAAGTACCACCTGCCTATAGAATTAGTTTGAACTGACTATAAACAACTAATTCAATGAAGCAATGGGACTTGCTTGCCAGAATTATGTGGTTAACAGCAGGACAAGGGGAAATGGTTGTAAGTTGAGGGAGGGAAGATTTAGGATGGATGTCAGGGGGAAGTTATTTACTATGAGGGTGGTGAGGTGCTGGAACAGGCTGCCCAGAGAGGTTGTGGATGCCCTGTCTCTAGAGGTGTTCAAGGGCAGGCTGGATTGGGTTCTGGGGAGCCTAGACTAATATTAAATGGAGAGGTTGGTGGCCCTGCATGTGACAGGGGGACTGGAGATTCACGATCCTGGAGGTCCCTTTCAATCCAGGCCGTTCTGTGATTCTGCGGCTCTGCCATCCAGCCAGGCAGCTTAACATGAAGTATGATTCTATATTTGATGCCTTCATCAATAAGTGTTTCTAAATAGCTAAGGTTTGGAAATGAAAAACATGCTAAGTTACAGAACAAAAGTTTTAGCAAGAAATACAGCTAGGACAATAGCAAACCAAGTAATTCTTTAGGTTGTAATTATTAAAATAGTCATCCCTGATTTAAAACCAGAAATAACAGATAAAAATTGAAATGAAAGCAGATGAAGAAAAGCAGAATCTGGGTAGTAACTGTAAGTAATTCAGAAGTAATTCAGAGGAGGCCTCTTGTGTTTCTAAGATTACTTTATTCTTTACAGGCTGGATGCTTTCTACTGGTATTAACTAAAGGAGAGTCTACAAATCAACATATTAGGAAACACGGAGGTTAAACAGCATTGAGAAGGAATACAGAGTAGTGTAATAGTATGCACAGCTGTAGATAAACACCAGGTTTTCACAGAATCACAGAACAGAGAGTCCTGGAAATCAGTCCCATCCAGAGCACCCTGTGGTAAGTGTGCTATTTGCTGCTTTAGTTCCCTGAACTGTTTTTAGCTTACTCTGTCCTTGCAGGAATTTGAACTTTTTCTTACGTACTCTAAAGTAAAACTGCCCTTTCATGGCAACTGAAATGGAAACCAATTATCTAGCAATGTCAAGAAAACAAAAGGTACACAGATATTAAGATATGCATCTTAAATTTCTCAAACGTGAAACTTGAAATGTAATGCTTTTAGGCATGATGCAAGACCTTCTCTTCTAGTAGATGGCAAAACCCACAATACTGTAACTCCCACAGTTCCACTGATTATCAAATAATTTATCTTCTTCAAATACTTTACATAAATGTTATTTGGCAGTTGTAAAAGTAGTCCATTATCCCCCAAAAAACTACCTGATAAAGCACTTTGATAATGAGAACCCTGCTTGGGCAGTATAAATCCAGTTCTGAGTAGCAGCGGGGCACTGGCTTACAGTAACAAGTCAAATGTTAACAGAAATGCCAGGGCAGTGAGTTAAATGACTACTAGAAGGACTGAGCAGAGCTGCACCCTTTTACTTCCCTAGCCAATGGCTGCGGACGCTGAGTGAGTAGAAAGCAAAAGACTTTGAAGTTCTCCTTGCCACAGTTCACTATTCTGCCTTTGCTGAAGACAGAGTCCTGAGCTAGGTGGAAATTTGTTCAGGCCGCAGGGCAGTGGCCATAGGGCACTTGCATTCTTCATTCCCATCTTGCAGCAGAAGATAATAATCAAACCCTGGGACTATTATTTTCCAGCGTGACAAGAATGGTACTTACTGAAATGATATCCAGCCAGCTGAAAAAGTCAATTTAATAAGTCATTACTTATTAAACTATACAGACTGTGGGACCGGTGGGAAAGAAACAGATTCTAACGTATGTTTGTTCAGCTCCAACTTCTCTTTCTGTCCTTGCAGCTCTGAAGAACTATTCCCAGACCATGGAAACAGTATTACTTAAATAACCTCCTGTTTTGTGGAACTGCACAGTTGACAAAATATATGCTTATTAGAGAAGCTGTGGAATGTGCAGCACTTGGTAGCTCTATTAAGAGACAGCAGCAACAAGCTAGCTCACTTCTACAAAGCCATGTATTACTTACTAACCAATTAACACTTGACAAACATTTAGTACAGACACAGTTTCATCATATTTTTTATCGCTCGGAAACCCGGTGGGATTGACTGCAAAAGCATAAGCAATATAAATCAGTATTTAAATTATATATTACATGTTTATTATGGGCGCAACATTTTTTAAATTTACATTTCATGAAAAATCAGAAGTATTTACAATTTTTGTAAGATAAACTTGTGTGCTCTAATTTACAGTCTGACGTAGTAATAATCCACAAAAACTCAGATCCTTTAGAGTTGTGTTTACAAATCAATTTTTTTTCAGAGGCAGCTACAAAGGAAATGGCTGTATACACAAGCAAGAACCAGCTTGCTACATGCTTCTTTTCTCTTCCCCATCAGATTGCTACATGTACTTTTTACACTGTTTTTGAATTGCTTTACAAAAAGTCTATATAGGCTTGCATGGCTTCAAAATTGTAACCTGCACCCAATGCAAATGTATCTATAATCACCCCAATGAGGACTAGTTTGAAAGTGCTGAAAAGTAGCTACTTCATTTAACTCAGAAATGGAAGCAATAGTTCATTAAGAGCAGCTATACAGTTTTGGGTTTTCATTAATGAAACACTGTCATGTTAAACACAGTTTGATTGCAAAGCAGATTACAATTAAGACTCCAGTAAAAAGACTGTACCATTTCATATCCGTTAGAAATTCTCCACTCAATAAGATCAGCAAATTAAAAGCCAGATATACTTTTCCAATCAGATGTAAAGTTCAAGATATCCTTAGAGCTAATAATGGCAATCCCATCTGCCAAACGTATAGCATACATCAGATTTTATGTAGCCTCTCTAAAGCTTAATGTATTGTAAAGCTTCAGCAGTCCTATTCACCACTGGTTTTGCATGAATTAATTCAAGCAAGTTTTATTGTCTTAATAGAGAATTTGAAATAGATTCAGTATTCAGAATGGTCATATAAAATTCCCACTTGAAGGTTATTAAATTACTTTGCTCCAGTACTTTTTGATTTCTGTACTGAAAAAATCATTTGATAATACAGATACATAAAAGATTTTCTAAACTAGTTACTTGTTTTAAAAAATGTTACTAATGTGTCACTTTTCTTAGGCTGCAGCAAGAAGAGCAGAAGAGAAATATTAAAACTGCTAGTTACAGAGAAAAAGTAAAACTAATAGAAATGGCAGTACAGTCATCTTGCTGCCATAATATCCCCTTCTTAAATGATATTCCTCCCAAAGTACTGCTTACATTCACATCATTCCAAAAGCACTTAATGCAGTCAGTGTAAAGGGAAACGCTGGTTTCTTTTAAAAGCATCGTTACCACCTTTCAAGACTCTCATCTTTGGTGACATTAAAGTTAGTACATCAAAATTCCAAAGTCCTGCATGATGCACCTCCCTTTACTATGGATGCATTTATTGCAATTACCCCATGAGGGAGTAATCCACTATTTTGATCTCCTTTAAAACAACCTCCAGCTTCTGCAGATCTCCCTTTTAGATCCCCATCAAAAGAATTTTTGTGAAGTTGTATTATACAAACACCACACTTTCTTCACGAATGGCCAAACTTTGAAAGAGGAAGTGAGGCACATGAATAACGAATTGGATAGGCACAGGCTTTTTTAAAGGCACAAATGTTATGAAGTTCATATAAAAATAAATTAAATCTACAGCATTAATTCAAACAATCACAACACCCATAAAATTCACTAACTGCAGAAGTAAATCTTTTCTGTCTTTTGCAATTTTGTAACACATTGCACTTAGGAGAAAAAACACTATATAAAACAACATACACGTTAATAATATATGATACATGGGCATCAAGTTACATTTTTTATACATCTCTAACTCAAATATTTTTATGGCACAAGAAGAACTACATAAAAGTTTGCCCCTTTTTCTTTAAAAACTGGCAATGAAGGAATCTGAAAATGAGTATTATGGAAAGCTCAAATATTCTTACTTGCTCTCCTACATTTTTATGTTTAATGTTTACAGTATAGCATACGATTTCATGCTTTCATTACAACTATTGATTACTACTTTGACTTCTAGATAAATTTACCAAAATTTTAACAAAGTTTCCCCAATATTGCAGTTGATCATTTACAGACAGTGTTGAAGTTAACTTCAGTGCTATTATAAAGTAATACAAGATCTTCAAAATGACTTTTGAAAGTGCATTTTCTGTCCTGTGGTTTGGCCTCAAAGTAGGTCAATATTTAAAAAAAAATAATGCATGTGAAAATAGTGTTTGACAAGAAGAAGGGGCCGAGTGGGTTTCTTGTACTCCTTTAATGACACGACTTTCACAGGTTCATCAGCAGTCTGCCATATACCGTCCTGAAAAATAAAGACAGGGTTTTTCTTGCAGTCAGTTGATGAAACAGATTTTGTCAGTATTTTCCTGTGAGCAGTTTGACTAACTACGGGGAAATGAAAAACCACCAGTAGTTTTCAGCCACGTTTTAAGGAAAGGTAAGTATTTATACACCATCTGTTCAACAGTTTAATGTTCTGTAACGCAGCACTACAGAATGTGTAATATTAATTTGAACATATAAGCATGTCAGCATCTTACCAGTGGCAAATCTCTTCTTAAGGAGGGAAAGCCGATAGCCAGAGCCTACCAGCTCTACATCTACTCCTGAAAGAGTGCTTCCTTCACTTATGAATTGCACTGCAAGTGTTGCTGGTTTACTGGGTCCTTCTGAAAGTTCAAATTTTGCCCTGAGGGATCCAGAACCTATAGAAACCAGTAAGGAAAGAAAACCTCAATTTTCTAATTAAGACAAGATCCAACTAAATACATTTCCCAAAACACTTCAGTTGATCTTTCACAGACAGGGGTGAAGCTCAGTTCAGTGTTGCTATACAGCAGTAATAGTTCTTAATCACTTTAGTAACACTTCTGTAGGATAGCACAAGGCATTAAAAAACACTGTTATTTCTCCCTTTTTTGAGTTCTTAACCAAGTGTTTTCCTGTTCTTGCACTATCTAGTGGGGATAAAATGAGATTTAAATAATAATGGAATAGTAAAAGTCCAGAATTTTTACTTCTTTAAAATAACTTGCTATTCCTAGTCAGTAGGAACTGCTAATTGATGAGGAAAGTTAGTGACTAAAAAGTTACTGGGTTAAAAACAGGGATTAATGAATGAAATTGTTTTACGCAATGACTTGTTCCTGATAAATTTGCCTTAAAGTCCACTTCATTTCTTCAATGATGTATCATAGTTTGGGTAACTGGATGCTCATATATTCAAGTATTTCAAAGTTGGCTTTGTGTTTTATACGTCTGCAATTCACAGCTCACATAATGTGTTGGACTGTAAAAAATACACATTTTACCACCATATACACAGAACAAAGTGTACTTCAAGCCATATGTCCTAATAGTAACAGTCCTTCTGTAACTTCTCATAGCATTATATTCTCACTGGGTTGTGAGTACAAAGTATTTACGCTCAAGAAAAAGATGTCAGTAAGAGAAGATAAAGTCATAGAACCAGTCAGATATGTTCACATCTACTGAAGTTGTGATCTGAGTCAATGAGAGCCCTTTTTATGCTGCTCTGCAGGTGTGGAGTAGTTCTTCATCTGGCTGCATTCATGTTTTAGCATGACTTCGTTCTTTTAAAAGATTTGGTAACAAAAATGAAAAACGAGAAGGCTATCCCTACATAATCAAAGGAGATTGAAGACAGGAAGCAAACAACTGTGAGGTCACTGAATGATTGAAGTACACTGTATGACAGCAACAACCTCTGGCAGATCAAATTCTCTCAAATTTTGTTTGAATGACCACTACAAATCTGCAGTCTTTGCGGCCACAGAAAAGGTCTTCCCTTCCCAGGCTTCCCTTTTGTCCCTGTTTTTCTAATTTGGAAAAACATCATACCTACAAAGGTTCTAAGGACTGTGATATCAACTGGCCTTCAGGGAAAGGCAGCTGGACAGAAGATATCTACTGATTCCTTACAAAGCAATGTTATATAAGTTACTGCTCTGAGCATGTAGCATAGGTTTTTTGTTGTTATTTATTTGTTTCTGGAGCCACTTGCCAAAACAAATGCTGGTCAAGAACAATCTGTAGCTGAGCCTGTCATAGCACAGCATTTTCATTCCAGTTCTTCCACTTTTTCCACTTCATTTCAATTGTCAGTGTGTGAAAAAAAGAACAGAACAATTTATTAAATATTTAACATATTTTTTCTTTGAAAGACTGTTCATTTTCAAATAGCACTGATGCAGTATTTTCCTATTTCAGTTTGAAATCTATTTTAGAGCTAACAACTTCCCAGGGTTTCACCAATTTTCCTTTTATAATTAACTATTTATATTTTAGCATCTCACTTTTAACAGAATCTTTCAGGAGGAACTTCACTGAGAAGTTGAACTGATCAACAGGATACAAGATGAGATAAAGCGTATACATGCAGAAGCTAAAATGATTACGTTTTTGCTGTTACCATTTTTCTGTAGAACAAAAAAAAAGTTCAACTTGCCTCCATTCTCAGATTTCTCTGAAATGCTAGATAGTTTCCAGTAAGCTTTCATCTGGTCTGAATTCCTGTGAGAGAAAGGTTGGTTTGTTACAAGCATCAATTTTCAGGATCTTATTTCCCTAACTTTACCCAGGTACTTTACAAGGCCATGCACACATAACCTACATTTCTAAATGAAAGTTTATAAAAATACTGATCATTTCAACACGGGTTTGCAGAGAGCTGTGCAAAGCAAACGTGCACTGCACCTGAGCTTGCAGCTGAGCTCAGACGTACATGCCACCTTTTTATACAATCTCTAGTGTACTCTGCACAGGAATGCCTCCACCTGACAACTCCAAAGCCAGCGTGGTCTCAAAGAGCAGGGACAGACCAAACACACTGAAAGAAGTTTGAAAGCTGAATCTTTATGCTTGATGGCAATGGTACAAGTGGGAACAATGTCGATTGTTTTCACCTATGCGAGACTCTGGGCTGTACGAATGGGAACATTTTCATTCTAATAAAACAATAGTTGGCATACGTGACACATACTTTACATTTATGACACAGTTTAACTTCTGACTCCGTAGAAGGGGAAAAAAGAAAAAGGTACCAAGCACTGGAGTTTCCAAACTAGACATCTGATCTCTTTGAACACTTTGCATCATTTCATCAATGGAAAGCCAACAACTTAACGCTGTAAGAGGCATGAATTGCTGAGAGGTTTGAAATTGTCTCTGGCATTGGTACAGCAGGAGTGAAATGCTCATGCAAGCAGAACAGATGATAGCAGTCACATGCTGGAGGCAGAATTATAAAACATTTATTCTTAAAAAACCCCAAAAAACTCATCACCCAACCCTCTAGGACAAAGATGCAGGATGACACAAACAATACACAGCTGTTTGCGATATGACTAGTTATTTTTTTGTCAACTCGTAAAGCTCAAAATTCTAGCCTTGGGTTGTTCCCTCGGTGAGAGGCAAAATAGCCTGGCTCTAGTCCCTTATTGTGATGAATCTTCTCTGAAACTGTCACTAAATGTTTAACCTTCCTAGATAGCACCAGGAGTTCTGGGAGGCTATTCTGGGAGGCTGAAGCAGTCGACCCCACGCCTCAATACTGCCTCCATCTGGAAAGAAAGAAGAGTGGTTGTCGTAGGCGACTCCCTTTTGACTGGGATGGAGGGCCTGATATGTCAGCCTGACCCCACCTGTGGGGAAGTGTGCTGCCTCCCTAGGGCACAGGTCAGGGATATCTCTAGAAAGCTTCCTGGGCTTATCCACCCATCTGATTACTATCCCTTACTGGTAGTTCAGTTGGCAGTGATGCTGCTGCTGAGGGAAGGCTGAGGGCTATCAAAAATGACTTCAAGTGACTGGGGAGGGTACTTGATGGAGTGGGCATGCAGATGGTTTTCTCTTCTATCCCTTCAGTGGTGGGGAAGGACACTGAGAGGATCAAAAAAACCCTCCTCATTGATAAATGGCTCAGAGGTTGGTGCAAACACAAGAATTTTGTTTTTTTTGACCATGGGGCAATTTACTCAGCACCTGGCATGATGGCTGCAGATGGAGCTCACCTGCCTGCAAGGGGTAAAAGGATCCGAGCCCAGGAACTGGCGGGACTCATTGAAAGGTATTTAAACTGGGTAAGAAGGGGGAAGGGGACAAAATGAGGGCCACTGGGGTTGAGCAGGTAGTTTGAGGCTCAAAACAGTGCTTGATGGGTGATGAGGGTGGAGTTCAAAAGGATGGAGAATGGCAGGGGGATGCTGCTTCCCTAAAGTGTCTGTACACTAATGCATGCAGTATGGGAAATAAACAGGAAGAGTTGGAGATCTGCGTGCGGTCGCATGGCCATGATCTCATTGCGATCATGGAGACGTGGTGGGACAGCTCACATGACTGGAATGTTGTCATGGAGGGCTATGTGCTTTTTAGGAAGATCTGCTGTCAAGGCGGGGTGGTGGAGCTGCACTTTATGTGAGAGAGCAGCTAAAATGTATTGAACTCCACCTGGGGGAGAGTGGTGTAGCAGTGGAGAGCCTGTGGATGAGAATCAAGGAGCAGGCTGGTATGGGTGACACTGTTGTGGGTGTGTGCTACCGGCCCCCTGATCAGGAGGAGGAGGTTGATGAGGCCTTCCACAAGCAACTGGAAGCAGCGTCACGATCCCAGGTGCTGGTGCTTATGGGGGACTTCAATTATCCAGATATTTGCTGGATGAGCAACATGGCCAGGGGATGCGCAGTCCAGACGGTTCCTGCAATGTGTTGAAGACAACTTCTTGGTGCAGGTGGAGGAGGAACCACTGAGGAGAGGGGTACCGCTGGACCTTATTCTCACTAATAAGGAAGGGCTTGTCAAGGAAGTAAACGCTGGGGGCAGCTTGGGTTGTAGTGACCACAAGATAGTGGAGTTCAAGATCTTGAGTGGAAGAAGCAAAGCAAAAAGTAGGATTGCTACCCTGGACTTTAGGAGAGCCAAATTTGATCTCTTCCAGGACCTACTTGGAGCTACCCTGTCGGCTTCGGTGTTAGAAGATAAGGGGGCCTGTGAGAGCTGTTCAGCATTTAAACAGCTCTTCTTCCAAACTCAGGATCAGTGCATCCCTGTGAGCAAGAAATCAGGAAAGGGTGACAGGAGACCTGTGTGGATGAACAAGGAGCTCATGCACAAACTCAAAGGGAAGAAGAAGGCCCATGAAATGTAGAAGAAGAGTCTGACCACTTGGGAAGAATACAGAAATGTCAGGGCCTGCAGGGATGTGACAAGGAAGGCTAAAGCCCGCCTGGAACTGAATCTGGCAAAGGTGAAAAAGGATAATAAAAAAAGGTTTTTTAAGTATGTTAACAGTAAAAGGAAGACTAGAGAGAATGCTGCTCCCCTACTGAGTGAGGGAGGTGTTCTGGTAACAGGGAATACTGAGAAGGCAGAGATACTGAATGCCTTCTTTGCTTCTGTCTTCAGTGAAAAAGCTCTCCCTCAGGAATACCGAACCCTGAAGGTTAGTGAGAAGGTCTGGGGAATGGAAGACTTCCCTTTAGTCAGGGAAGAGGCAATCCATAAGCGCCTGGGCAACACCAATGTTCATAAATCCATGGGACCCAATGGATGCATGCATGGGTGCTGAGGGAGCTGGCAGAGGTGATTGCTGAACCGCTGTCATCTTTGAGAGGTCTTGGAGAATGGGGGAGATGCCTGAAGACTGGAGGATAGCCAATGTCACTCCGATCTTCAAAAAGGGCAAGAAGGAAGATCCAGGTAATTACAGGCCAGTCAGCCTCACCTCTGTCCCTGGAAAGGTGATGGAACAGCTGGTGCTGGATGTCATCTCCAGACAACTGGATGAAAAGGAGGTTACCAGGAGTAGTCAGCATGGGTTCACCAGGGGGAGGTCATGCTTCACCAACCTGGTAGCCTTCTGTGATGTTGTCATTGGCTGGGTGGATGGGGGAAGAGCAGTGGATGTAGTCTACCTTGATTTCAGCAAGGCTTTTGATACTGTCTCCCACAACATCCTTATAACAAAGCTGAGGAAGTGTGGGATAGATGAGTGGACAGTGAGGTGGGTTGAGAACTGGCTGACTGGCAGAGAGCAGAGGGTCGATGCTGGCGGTGCAGAGTCTGGCTGGAGGCCTGTAACCAGCGGTGTTCCTCAGGGGTCGGTGCTGGGTCTGGACTTGTTCAACATCTTCATCAATGACCTTCATGAGGGGATAGTGGCCACCCGCAGCAAGTTTGCTGATGATACGAAGTTGGGAGGATTGGCTGACACGCCTGAAGGCTGTGCTGCCATTCAGCAAGACCTGGACAGACTGGAGAGCTGGGCAGAAAAAAACCGGATGAGGTTTAACAAAAGCAAGTGTAGAGTCTTGCATCTGGGGAGGAATAATTGCATGCACCAGTACAGGTTGGGGGATGAGCTGCTGGAGAGGAGCTCTGCAGGGTGGGACCTGGGTGTCCTGGTGGACCACAGGTTGGCCATGAGCCAGCAGTGTGCCCTTGTGGCCAATGGCATCCTGGGGTGCATTAAAAAGAGCGTGGCCAGCAGGTGAAGGGAGGTGATCCTCCCCCTCTACTCTGCCCTGGTGAGGCCTCATCTGGAGTATTGCGTCCAGTTCTGGGCTCCCCAGTACAAAAAAGACAGGGATCTCTTGGAAAGAGTCCAGCGGAGGGCCACGAAGATGGTGAAGGGCCTGGAGCATCTCTCCTATGAGGAAAGGCTGAGTGAACTGGGTCTGTTCAGCCTTGAGAAAAGAAGACTGAGAGGGGACCTGATCCAGGTCTATAAATATCTGAGGTGTGGGGGGCAGAATGGCGAGGCCGGACTCTTTTCAGTGGTGAGTGGAGACAGGACAAGGGGAAACGGCAGGAAACTGCAGCATAGGAAGTTCTGCACAAATGTGCACAAGAACTTCTTTACAGTGAGGTGACGGAGCACTGGAACAGGCTGCCCAGGGAGGTGGTGGAGTCTCCTTCTGTGGAGATGTTCAAGACCTGCCTGGATGCCTACCTGTGCGACCTGCTGTAGGGAACCTGCTTTGGCAGGGGGGTTGGACTCGATGATCTCTGGAGGTCCCTTCCAGCCCCTACAATTCTGTGATTCTGTGATTCCTGCTTTGACTGAGGTTTCACAACTGATGGGTTTGTGGAAGAAGGTTGGACGAGGGGAGGGAAAACAAGCTTCACCAGAAGTACTGGTCGTGCTTTGCATGTGTACTGAATCTGCTGCAGTAGAATAAGGTTAATGTGTTCTGGTTAAGAGTTTCACTCTCTCAAAATACAGTAACAACTATCAATTTTGACACATTTTTTTTCTACTTACAATGATACTGTGTTACAACTTTCTCCAAGTCACACAGTTAAGAGGACTGCCTCCAGAAACACCAAAACCTATCTGATAAATGGTTTATTCTTCCTCTGAACCTTAATTTATAGGAAGATCTTACTCCCTTCAGCTTGGTATACTTCTCTCTCTTAACCTCCATGTCCTCCTCAGTTAATAAGACCCTCTTGTCACTTGGGAAATAAATTGTCCTGGAGTTAAATTACAAAGGGCAAGTATACACAAGTTGCCAAGCTACAGGTGCAGTGCTTGAATTCTGCTTGCTTTTCAATCCATGGAGGTACTTCTCTGCCCCCTGCCATTACCTTCTGCTTGTTTGCACAAATTTATACAAATCTACTGTTTATGCCTCACTTTCAAGTTCAGCTGCAAATGGCCTGCGAGCTTAGAAGGTGGTGGCAGGTAATAATTAGGATGATGCTGTATGTTGCATGAATGTTATATGTTACAGAATCACACTGCAGAACCACTGACAGGTCATCTTTGCAAGGAAGCAGCAATGGCTCAAGCTAAGCTCCTGGTGTCCAGGAACCCAACATGCTGCCTTTCCTGCCTTGAGTGGCCTCCTAGGGATGAGGCCTAAGTCATTGCTGGTTCCCACAGATACTTAGGGAGAGGTACATGAAATGGGTAAATAGTATCTATGTATCTATTAAGAGATGGGGAACAGGGCTGATGAGAATGTATAAACCTGTATGTTAGATGTAATGATTATCGGAGGACACAAATATAATAAAGTATGTGGAACCCGCATCAATGTTACAGACTGAGGGATAGAAGTGCTGGGTCTGGCTGGCATGGAGTTCACTTTCCCCACAGCAGCCCATACAGTTCTATGTTCCACATCTGTGGCTACAACAGCACTGATATCACACCAGAGTTTCGTCTATATCTGAGCACATATACAATAAACCATATGATCTAGTGGGTGGCAGCCCTACCCACTGCACTGCAACTAGATGATCATTAAGGTTCCTTTCAACCCAAGCCCTTCTACGATTCTATGATGATAGTTTTTTTTTTACCACTATGAGATTTTGGTTTCAAATCACATTACTTAAATAACTGTCCTGTTTGTTGAAAGCAAATATTGGAAATTTCACAAAGGTTGGAATGGCTGCTCAGAGTCTCATCTCAGTTTATATGAATTGGTTGCACGTGGTCTGTTTTGGACCAGAAAACATCCTGTGCATTTTCTTTGCAAAAAAGAAAAAACACAAACAGCCGTTTCCTTCAATGAAATTTTTTTCAGCTATAAAACTAATGAATACACTGAAAAGAATATGAAATAACACAAAGAAAAGTATAAACATTACCATTTTGCAGGTGGAAGTGATTGCATGTTGGTTACTCCTCCATCTACTGGTACCACAACCTGTACATTAGACAGCATGCTGGGCACATTCATAGACTCTGGATTGTATTTATAATCCACTCTCACATCAGTAGTGTTAGCATTACATTTCCAGTAAGTTGCAAGATTCAAGGGAGTGGACTGGATGCCATTTGAAGATACCTTTAAAAAAATAAACCGTTGAAAGCAGCTTAATTAAAGTCTCTCCCTTTCTGGGTAGAATTATGGAATGATTGTAATAGCTATAAATTCTGACAAAAGATCAAAAGAACAATTCACAACTGAGCCTTTAATCTCAGAATTCTGAAGACTGTCATAGCTGACAGTAATTCCCATTCTTTTAAACTTAAACTAAATTATTTTAAAAAACGAGTTAAACTCCTTCTGACCCATGAGACTTCTTCCTGCTTTGCCTTTCTTGGATCAGAATAGTTTTGTTTTAGCCTTGTACTCTACTTCACACAAGAAAGCTGCCTGTACCAAAATGAATTAATCCTTAGCAGTTATGTGGCATATCATTTCAGATGTCTCAACAGCAAGCAGCAAAGGACACGTCATTGGACATATTGCCAGAACAGTTCTTACGTATTAAAAACATTATTTTGCTGGTGCAGGAGATTTGGCAGCTGCTGCTTTTCAGCTCATGTTGCTGCCCTGCTACACACCCCTATTATCATCCTAATCTACTTGAGGAACTTTCCATTGCCTATTTTGTTTTGTTGGCACCTCAGGACTCGTTCCATCCACCATGGCTTTTTTATGCCTGTGTCTCATTTTACCCTAATGGTAAAGACCTTATGTAACTTTCCTTTTCCCACAGAGCTCATTTCTGTAATCCAAAGAAAAAATTATTTTCCTCCAACATTCCAAATCTTCGGATTTAGCATATTTTTTATAAATTCAGTCTGGCAGAATAATGGGAAGATATAGAAAGCTACAGTAGTATTAATAGCTGCACTGAATTATTTATTTATTTTTAGAATGTAAAGGCAGTTGGCTCAGAAATCCAATCATCTCAATGCAGGGGAAGGAAATCCTTGTTTTCTCTTTTAGATGAACGCACTGTTCCTTCATTTTTATGAAGACTTTTTGCTGACAGCCAGAACGTCTTCCCACAGAGTCACACTGTGGCTGAGGTTAGAAGGGACCTCTGGATATCACCTGGTTCAATCTCTCTGTCTCAAACAGGGCATCCTAGAGCCAGTAGCCCATGTCTAGACAGCTTTGAAGTATATCAGGAAGGAAGTTTCCACAAACTCTCCAGGCAATCTGTGACACTGCTTGGTCATCCTTGCAGTAATAAATATGGTCAGGCAAAACTTCTCATTGGTACTTATTCAGTATCCCAGCCTTTTCCCTGTCCTGTCTCTGGGCACCAAAGTTTTTACTGTCCTCAAGCACAACTGAAGAGAGTCTGGCTCTGGTCAATTTGTGCCCTTCCTTCAGATACTTACAGACATTGGTAAGATTGCCCCTGATGCTCCTCTTCCCTAGGTTCAACAGTCCCAGCTCTCTCAGCCTCTCCTCACAGGAAAGGTGCTTCAAACCCTTTCCTTTTCATAATCTGTGTGACCCTCTGCTGGACTCTTAAATGCCTGCAAGTCTCTCTCATACCAAGGAGTACAGGATTGGATTCCAGCTATAGCCGTATCAGTGCTGAGCAGAATGGAGGGATCACTTCACTCAGCCTATTGGTAATGCTCCTCCTAACGCAGCCCAGGATACCACTGGCCTTCTTTTCCACAGGGATACAGCACCAGCACTCCTGTTCAATACAGTGTCCACTGGGATTACCAGGTCTTTTCTGACAAGCTGCTTTCCAGCTGGCTGTTCCTCCTCAGATGCAGGGTTTTGCACTTCTTTCTGTTGAAGTTAATGATGCTCCTGGCAGCCCTTTTCCTCAAATTAAGTCTCTCTGGATGGCAGCATGATCACTTAGCATATCAGCCACTTCTCCCAGTTTTGTGTCATATGTAAACTTGCTGATGATGAACTCCTCTCCACCATACAAATCCTTAATGAAGATCTGGATGCTTTCCTGTGCAACCTACTGTGGGGAACCTGCTTTAGCAAAGGGTTGGACTAGATGATCTCCAGAGGTCCCTTCCAACTGCTTCAATACTGTGAAACAGGGCATGATCCACTACTGACCACTGAGGTACACCACTACTCACAGGCCTCCAGCTAGAATTTGCACTACAGATCAACTCCTTCCATGCACAGCTATTCAGCCATTTAATCTACCTCACTGTTTGCTTACCCAGCTGATAATTCCACTGCTCCCCCGTGATGATCTTATGGAAGACAGTGTCACAAACCTTACTGAAGTCTAGGCAGACAACATCCACTTCTCTCCCCTCATCTACTAAGCCAGCTGTTTCATCACAGAAAGTTACCAAGTTAGTCTGATAACTATTCCTGATCTCTCTGGCCTTTATGTGCTTCAAAGTGGTTTTCAGGATAAGCTGTTTCATTTTATCGTGAGGAGAGGGAACATCATATAATCTTATGTATTACATCTGATCAATGACAGCATCCCAAAACTATGCAATTACAAAAGCACACACAATTGAATTACAAACTCAAACAAAAACCTGTAGATGTATAAATTCAAGGAAAACTTGGCTTTGCTAACAAACACCTAAAAGTAGCACCATTCAGCATTTTCATACTTGGACTGTAAAGGAGTTTGAACAAGATGAAACAGGTCATAAATGCATGGGAAGGACATAAGGCATAACAGGAATGTACTCAGCTAGAGTAAGGCCTATGAATTAGAGACACTGATGTAACCAGAACTGATCTAGATGACAATTGCAGGATGCAGGATGACAGTTCATCTGCATGCTATCAGGCAAAGAACAGTTCTCATTTCTGAACACATATGGAATCAGACAGCATTTCTTACAAAATTCCAAAAGGAAAAAAATGTTTACCTGATACTTTAAAACATCCACATTATAATAGGATGCAGATGGGTTCTGCTCTGATAATTTCTTGAGGTAGAGAGTTATAGCTTGCATGTTCATCCAAAAATCCCTCGTAGTGGAGTCACTTTGAGACTGATCACTACAAAGAAAAAGAAAGGTAGGAATCAGCACTGAAAGCTATTACTTCTAAAAATGTCTAAAACTTAAAAATAGATCTTTTCCCTCATTCACTGTTTAACGCAAGTGTTTGTTCTAATGCTTTATATCACATAGTTGTGCTTTTCTTAACGTTAAGGGAAATTAACTGCTTTTCTTGTCTGGTTAAAATTCTCCTTCCAGTCATGGAGCAATGAGTTTTCTCCACTGATGACTGACAGCACAAGGTGCAGAAAGGTTCAGATTCAGACAGGTTCAGTTTTTATGTTTATTAAAATCCACTCTCAATATTATCTGGTGCTGTGAGAATGTGCATGATGAGGTCATGTAAAAGGGATCTTCCAGAAGAATTATTATCTAATCTGGACTAAGACCTAGAAAATGTAATTCGTTTTGGATACAACATCACTAAGACTTGTGCTGTATGTGTTACCATATTTTCACATATGTAGAAAATGTAAGCTCCCTAAATTTTTTACTTCGAAAACAGTTCCCAAATTGTTATAAACTATTGTCTTTCAGGTCTTTCAGGTATTTACTGTTAAATTCAATGTAAGTAGTCTTTTTTTTTTTTTTTTTTTTTTTTTTTCCCAGTACCTTTGCACATCAAGAATAACTTGAGCACTGGTTGCAGCAGGTGTATTTTGAAAAGAAAAACAATGAAGATTCTATTCAATTCAGAAACAAAATTCAAATCATATATCAATTAAAAGGCTGCGCTGGATATTGGTGGATATAGTGAGAAACTGCAGTCACTGCTAAGGAGATCTGCCGAATGCACATGCAGACTGAAGCTGACAATGAACACTTGGAACACAGAGAATATAAGTGCAATGGCTTGATACTGGGACAGTGTCTTACACACCACTAGCCTCTCTGATTTGCTTTGATTTTGGCTCTCATTACAGTATTGTGATTCCTGCTACTTCAACCTTTACTAAAATGTAGATCAACACTTGCTTATCCCTACAGGGACCTTAGATGACGTTAGGTGCAATCCAAAACAACTTCTGGCGTTTCCGCTCACTCCCATATCTCTCATATATCTCATATCACTCTCATAAAAATCTGCCATTTTTATAAATACTGAGCAAATGATAGCCTAAGAGGATATGATGAAAAGTCGTATTGCTCCACAAATGGCTTAAACTTCCTAAGAGTCCTTTACATGTGTTATTTCTAATTAGAAGTGAAGTGCTACAGCACACAGATAGAATACTGGACATTTTCCTATTATTTTCAAAATATACTTTTTCAGTACAATTCACTCTGTATGCTGAAATGTAACTGTGAGTGATCAAAATGAAATTAAATACAAAAGAAGTGATGCATACAACTTAATTCTTTCAGCTATTTCAGTAATGTAAAAAAATGTACTACCGATAGATGTTTAACTGCCTTTCAAATAATTTCTCTACTCAGTGAAACAGAAACTGCTCAGCTGTAAGAAATCCCTGCTAAATAAATACATTTTTTACAATTGCCCTGAATTTTGGAAAAGAAATCACAATGCTATGATTTCAACAATTATTCTGCTCATTCAAGAGCATATTTTTCTTAAGAACTCTACAAAGCACATTGCTGTACACTTGAAATACATAAATATGTAATTATTTTGGTCTACTGTAAAAATGATACAACTTAAGAAATAAACTTGTAACTGACAACTGAGATTAGGCATAGCTCCTACTATTTAACTACTGTTTCATCACCCAAAGACATTGTTGTCACTGTATACAGAAATCCATATATCCTAGTTTGACATTTTTTCTTCATATCTATAATCAGTTCATGTAGTTTGACTAGAAAAAAAGTCAAACTTTTTAAAAAATTGTTTATGAAATCACTTCATCTATAAAACGTGTAAAAACACAGCTACATTTGCAAACTATTTTTTATGGTTCCTGTTATACCCAGTGTAAGTTTCAGGACCAGTGAATTACTGAGAATTCTAGTGGTGGCAGCAGAGAAAAAATTAGGTAAACAAGATTAATTAGTGAGATTGAATCAAGTATAAACAAATGAACAAGACTGTAGAGAACTCTGACATGTATACAACAATTTGCATTTTAGAAATCATGTAATTTACTACTGTATAAAAAAAATAATACAAAACCTGTATACAAGTTGTGCATTTGGAAGAATCTGCTCTAGTTTGCTTGTGTTTTTTACCCTGAAGCAGAGCACAGCTGGAGATGGGTTGCTGGTGAAGACTTTAATAATCCCACTTGGGAATGATACTGTCATATCACCAGTGATCTTCACAATACATCTAGGAGAATAAAAATATTGTTTTTATTGCAACTCATTAACTTCCTAATTTTAACGCTGACTGTAAAGCAATCAGTATACTTTTGCAATCTGATAACCTGAATTCATAACAGAAAATCAATTTTAAATGAGGATAATGTGGCACTGTAATTATCACATGTGACAACGTTATTATCACTTTCAAATTGAAAATCAGGTGAAGTAAGTGAAAACAAAAGTACAGCTGCTTAAGCATACAGTAGTCTCTGGATATTTTTCAGGCTTTGAAAACATGGCACAGCTATGCTTAGGCAAGGCCTACGTAGCATAGAAAGGGATGTGACAGGGTGAATGAGGTGCTTTTACAGCTGCCCAAAATTACACACAAAAGTACACGACTGTGACAAAAACCCTTCTCATTTTCAGTATTCTCACTGAACACATTTTTGTAAAGCAGATATATATGAACTCCAAGCAAGACAGTAGAGAGCAATGAGCCACCGCTGTTACTTACACTAGGGGAAAAAGCCTGGTGAAACCCCTTACCAATGCACATATATTTTCCCCAATACATTATAAATACAAAACAGCGTGTTTTCTTATTGTAACTTATTACATTCAAAACAATTTACTATTTAACTAACTTTGTGGGATCTGCTCCTTTAAAGTAGGCGTTAACAGATTCAGTAAGGGCTACAGCGACAGGCAGGGTGTCCTGGTTTCCAAGGCTGACAGGGCTGGGACCACGTGAAACACCTAGAATACATACAGTGTATAGATTTAACTTGTAAAAGCTTAGCAATAGATTTCAGAACGGTTGACATCTGTCATTTTCACAAGACATTACTACCATCAAGATCACAGTAGAGCCTGAAGTAGTACTTGAACACTATTAGGACAAAACACTGTACAGTACAATTACACCATCAAAACACTGCTTAGCAGCCTAAGAAAACAGGACTACTGGTATGACACATTGCCAATGGACAGACATACACAAATATATATGAGACGCAGAAAATGCTGCACTAAAATGGCTAAGAATGACACCAAAGTCAGCAGATCCAAAAGACATTAGACATTAGCTACAATACGTTAAAAAACAAAACACAAAACCTACTGTATGCTTGCTGCATGGAAAAATGTATGATAAAGTGGTCAGGGAAATGCAAAGAATTCAGCTACAGTTTTTATGAACTTACATACAAACACATTATTATTACCCCACAGTAGCAAATTGTTGAATATCCTTTTAACTATTTCAGCCAACAAAGGTTAGAATTTCTGCGCAGAAATTACTGTAAAAATATTTTGCTAAGTTTTCTAACATGTATAGGAATATCTTGGAAATACCTGGACACACACAGCAGTTCACAAGAAAAGTAATTATCAGGCTTGTATCAGCCTTCATAGGTTCCTGTGCACACACAACAGAGTTAAAATGTAGAGCTACAAAAAACAACTCAGAGAAATGCAAAAGCAGCCAAGCTTTCTGGGTTTCATTATGCTTTTTGCATATGCTACCTGTGGTTGTAAGAACTACTTAGGGAAAGCACAAGAGAGCACAGGAGCTATATATGGGGTTATTTCTTGTACATCTTCTCCCTGTAACACAGGTATCTTGCATGATGAATCCAGAGGTACTGAGCTCAGAGGGATTTATAAAATCCTCTAAAAATATTCTAAGTTAGCTTTTCTGTGCATAAAAATGTCACTACTTTAAATGCAGTTATTTCTAGCTGTGCTATGCCCTCTTTTGGAAAATCCCACTCTCTCCCTCCTGCTACACATCTCAGCAACACAAACTTGCCATTCCTCTTCCTTGCTATCGCGGGATGTGCATTGAATGATAGAATTCTGACATTTTTCTGAGCAGAAAAGCAGTGTCCCAGTGAAGTCCTGAATCCCTCGTTGTGAGATGGGCACAGACCTTGTGAAGCAATTCATACACATACATCTGCATATGGGGATGTGCTCATCGCATGCTACTGCCTGAGGACTGCTCAGAGGCAGGTAAAAGACAGCGACAAGGGTCTTGTTAAAGTCAGCAGAGGGCAGAGGCAGGGCAAACAAGTGGATAGCCAAGCTGATGAGGCTTTTTTAAAACTGTGCAACCGACAAAACTGACTGTCATGGGATTTTACTTTCTCCTGGTGTTTTCCATGTGGAGCCAGCTACTTAATATAAACTGTAAAACTAGAAGTTTCATCTTTTTTACTAGCACAGCAGCATACCAGAGAGCATCTTAATCGTTTTTCATATCAATGAACAGGTTTATATCACATAATGTATTTATCAAAAGGAAGATAAAGTTTTTTGCCATGTCATGAACAAAATGAGAAATTAACTTCGTATCATAAAGTAGAAACAAAATCCTGTGTAACATTGCCAATAGCATACTAAGCCTACAAACTCTACCTTAGCATCTGTGCCTTCTGAGCTCTTCCATAAACAGAAAGGAAGTCAGAACCTTGCTCCTCAAGGAAGGTCTAATATGAGATTTTACATGTAAATTCAGAGATAAGTGAAAGAGCCAACAACTGGAAAGTGAAACAAATGGATAGGAAAAGACAGGAGAGTAGGTCTAATTTTGATACTTTCCTAACTTGCTCTCCATAAAGATTTGTTCCCTAAGGTATTAAAATGTTCAGAATACTTCCTAGCACTACAAAAAAGTGTTAGAGCAGCTTCAGGACTGCTTAGATGCAAAGCATTGCTCTGGCTACAAGTGTTCAAAACAAAAAATTATTCAGTGAATGAATTAATATGATGCTGGCTCTTTTTTTTTTTTTTTATAATAATTATTTAAATGAACAGTAAGTAACTTTTACTGTTCTTTCAGAGCACACATGGGTGAAGTTTCCAGTGTTTACGTCTCTTCCTGAAATTTAGCAAAAAACCCCTGTGATTCTCAGTAGTCTTAGGAATCCAAAAGTGATGACTTCAAAAAAATTGTAACAACCAGATTCGTTCTATTCAAGAAATTGTTTGATGAATCACTAAGCTCCAGAAGTATTCTCCATCCAAGCTAAAATATGCATTTGATGGAAAACAAACAATTGCAGTATATTATTTATTTATTTGTTTATTAATTATCAGACTATTCACAGATTTATCCATTCTATATAAAACTTACAATAGCCTTGTAAATAAATATAAACCTTTATATTGATATTTGAAAATTATGTAATATGAATACTTAAATTATTTTTCTATCAGTAAAAGAAAAATATTCATTTATTGACAGAATAGGGAAACTTGTTAGGAACAATAAGTTTATTTTTACATTTTGCTGTTAACACTAAAGCAAACATACACATTTATGCATCTCTCTGAGATGTATCTGAATGACTACTTAATTGTGCAGCCCTTACTCTTCAAGATCACTTATTATTAATGATAATCTAAGCACTTTGCTAAAAACCAGTAAACTGAAGGATATATACCTGGCTAACTGAACAACAGATATAATTGTTTTGTTGCCTTGCAGCTCAAAAAATACGTCTAAAAATGTAATGCAGCAATATCCTGCTTCAGTGCTTCCAGTTAGCTGCAACCTCTCAGAGGGATAGGATGCCACAAAACTGTGCCATCCTGCATTGCAGCTCAAGCATTTAGGAGTAGCTGAGGACTAGCTCAGCTTGTCTTGATGCCTTGCTATCTGCCTCAACCTGACCAACAATAACAGCCTCTCAGCTATGTTGACATGTAGTGGCACTGACATGGACAAGAAGGATGGCAAGCTGCAGAAAAAAAGACTGCATCACTGGTCACAGATAGGACAGCATTTCATCAAGTGGTTTCAGATCACTTTAGGCACAAAGAGTTGGATAATTTTAATACTGACTAAACTTTTTTTATTTAGAAAAAAAAAAAAAAAAGTATACCCTAATTTATTTATATCTTCATAGCTTTGTATTATATGAAAAAATATAAAAAAATTACCTGACTTATCTGAAGAGAATGAGGATTATCAGTTAAAACATGTTCTATCTTGAATGAAAGTTGTAATGCAAAATTGAAGGCAAGAGACCAGGTTTTGACTTGTTTTGGAGGGACAGATAAAAGATCATAACATATTAAAGTAGTTATACCAAGTTTTGGTGATTTTGAATTTATAAGCAGTTGAGCTTTCAAGCTACTTGCATCTGCCAGACACCAAAAATGGCTGGAGAAATTTTTTTTTGAAAGAAATGCAATTTTATTAGCTGCACTGTATTAGGATGATTAGTTAACATGTAAATCTGCATCTAATACAATACCTGGTGGTGTGTCACAAAGCTTTTCTATTGTAGGGAGTGTTCCAACCAAAAGATCATCCTCTATTATGTTTAAATGAAACGAAACATTGCAAGAAAACAAAATATTTCAAGCAAAAGTAGATGTTAATTCACATACATAAATTCTCTGCATATGAATATAATTCTGACACATAAAAGAAATATGCCTACAAGTTCACATTGACCTCTGCATTATTCAGAATAGAGTATGGCAAACATTGGGCTGTGCAAAAGCTGAAAGAATATAGACAGTAGTGTAGAGCATCCTCATGCCCCAACATCATTCAGCATTCTGCACCCACCTCTCTCCAGGACTATTTAATTCCAACACACTAAGAAAACAGAACTGAGCCCATTTATTTTTGCTAGACCAGGTTAATAACCATGCCAAATCCCTGTGGCAGCACACACTTCCTTACCATTTTCCTCGTATACTCATGCATATGCAGAGAACTGGAGCTACTGAGGCTGCTGCCACTAGCTGCTAAGGCCTGAGGAAGCGAGTATGGATGGACTTTGACCACATCAGTTATAATATCAATTAAAGTATAAAATATTTTATAAATAAAAAAAAAAAACTGATAAAATATCAGTTATCTTTCTGTGATGGTTCTCAGCATTTGGTAATTAGTAAACATTGAACTGTGCTGCTACCACAGCATCTAATGCTTACTAGCTTAGGTTTTGCAGAAGGAAAAAACTTGTACTTCCTCACAGGTGTAATACTCCCTAGGAAGCTGTGTGGATGCTCTCCAGAGATGCTGAGCCTGTCTGAGAAATCCTTGGTATCAGTAACATTCACAGATAACTACTGACTGAAAATCTGACTTGGGATTGAAATGTAATACCATTCAGGAATGAAATATTACAATTTTGCTAAAGAAGCAAATTAAAATGTACTTAAAACAACAACAAAAAAAGCAAACAAAACACTTCTGAAATCTCCTTACTTTTTGTTATAACCAAATATAAAAACTCAAGGACTTTTCCCTACAAACATGAGAAAATCTTCTGAAACTTGTGACAATCTGCTTTTCATCTTCATTGTTTTTGGCTATTTTTCACATTTTTATCAACAAGCTCTGGTTAGGTAATATGCTTAAATAATTTTAAAAGATGCATGTTTTTGTGTTTTTTTCTTGGAAACTACAATTATAACAATAAAAAGCAAATACAAAGAGCATATGCATTCTGTTTTGAACATCCGTATTCATTCAAGTTTATAAGCATCCTTAAATATTTCTGCATTTAGAATGAATTTTGAACAAGTACACGATAACATGCTGTGCCTGATGAACACATACACAGAAACACAAAACACAAAGTTACACAGCATTTCAGTTTTGAGAAATCTTTCACTAAAGAACAAGTCAAAATCAAATCAGTGATCTACTGTATTCAAATGAACTGTTCTGATAGGACAGAACACTGTCCTGTCTATTACAGGTAGGTATTTCAAAGGATACTTGAGGTACCCAGACTAGACTTACACATGGAACCACTAAATGCAAGGAATGGTTTTCACAAGAAGCAAAACCTAGTGGCAGAATTAGGCCACCACTAGCAAGTGAATACGGTAAATAAGTTAACATGGTTAATGTAACTTACCAACTGTAGGTGTATTTGCTGCACTAAGGGAAGCAGAGGAGGATATTGAGGAGATGCTCTCTGCACGTGCCAAGGGAGCTGCAGGTGGTGGACTTGAATTAGAGGTCAGTGGAGGGCTGAATGGCCTAGGCTGAACAAAGGAGATTACAAGAGTATCAACAGGCAGAAAGTCTGTTAATTTAAAAATTAATTTTACAAACACGAAAAGTACTGTAAATAGAAGAGATCTTCATTTCATTTCACAATAAATGTCTAAGTGTTTCTTAGATATTTTACTGTGTTGTATATCCCACTTTCCAGCATAAAACTGAGAAGACAAATTTTCCCTGGAGACCATAGAATCATAGAATGATTTGGGTTGGAAGAGACCTTTAAGATCATCTAGTACCAGCACCCCTGCTATAGGCAGAGACACCTCTCTCTAGACCAGGTTGCTCAAAGCCCCATCCAGCCTGGCCTCGAATGCTTCCAGGGAGGGGGCATCCACAGCCTCACTGGGCAACCTGTTCCAGTGTCTCACCACCCTCATAGTAAGAGTTCCTTCCTGATATCTAGACTAAATCTACCCTCTTCCAGTTTAAAGCCATTTCCCCTCATCCTGTCACTACATGCCCTCACAAAAAGGCTCTCAATTTTTCTGTGAGCCCCCTTCAGTTACTGGAAGGCCACTATAAGGTCCCCCCCACAGCCTTTCCTTCTTTAAGCAGAAAAGTACCATCTCTCTCAGCCTATCCCCATAGGCTTGCTAGGCCACGTAACATCTTGCTAATTCGAAACACAGGAAGGGAGAGGATCTTACCACAGTAAAATTTTTTTCAAGTAAGTCAAATGGGACCCAAAGAATCGTAATATTCATAGAAGAGATCAAGCATGGTTTGGTTTGATATGCTGCCTGAGTATGTGCATTCTTTGCCACATTCACAGTAGGTGAACTTGCACTGCAGGCAAGGAGCAAAGACGACATCTCTCTATGTTGATGAGCAGCTGCTGCAATCCGCTATCTCCTTTCACCAATCACCTCCACCAAGGGCAGAGTGAATCACAGCACGTCTACTTGTATCAAAGCATGACTGATAATGACCCACTTAGTACCACTAACTCCCCAAAGTTTAGGTGATATTCCTACATCAATGAAGCTTTGCTAATAATTTTGCTAGAATTTAGCATTGTGAATAACTTAATCCTCCTCCCCCCCTCGCTATCCATGCATTTTCAAAGTATTTATTTATTCAACTAAAAACAATCCAAGATCAATTAAGAATTAAATTTGTTACAGTAACACACTTATTGCAAACAATGCCCATACCTATCTGGCAGTGGTGAAAATCTGAACATGGGATTTCTTGAGCCCTGACTGGAAAATAACTCCATTGTAACAATACAAACAAGTGGTATATCTGAAATTTATTTATAAACAAGAATTTTTAAAAAATCAATACATACTATTTCATTAATTCCACTAAGTTTCCCTGTAGACAATTTTGTTCTTGAAGCAGGCCTTGGAGGGGGTACAATAGTGCCTACGGTAAGAGGAGTTGTGGGTCTTGCTGAAAGAAAGCAAACGAAAGAAAATCAAAATCAGAAATGTCACAGTGAACACAAATAGGTAGTCAGTCAAATAAAACCAAGTGAATAAAACCAAACTGAATGTTTCTATTAAAAGTTCCTGTTTTACAGTTCTATTTTGTAAGATTCACCACAAATCAAAAAGTATTTTAAAAAGAGCCATGAGACACTCTGAAAAGTGACTCTAAAAATGGCATCACGGTATTTCTCAATGCTCTCAAATGATTTTCTATCAACTAATCTCAGAGCTTTGTATGCAAAAGAAGGTTTTACCTGAGTTTATTTTTGTGCATATTCTATATAGAATATAGGACAATCTTTCATGTCTTACCATAATGAAAAATTCAGTGGAAATTCACATTTGGTCCTGGCTGATAATATAGCATAACAGTTAATGTCAAATCACGCCTTCTGAAATTCCACTGATTTCAGTAAGTAAATGCCAGTTTAACACAAAAAACTTAGCAAATTACTCTGTTGACTGCAAGAACACAGTAGCTCCTTATTATCTCTTTTAGCCAACCTGTCAGATCTTAAAAGCAGTACAAAACACTGCTCCCATGTCCATCTAAATCTAGTAGACACAACCAACAGATGATGGCAGCAGTATAAAGATGCCACTTTTACACAGTCACTTTTCTGAAGAGAACTGTATTTGAAAATAAATGTTAAATGCCATCACTTCAAAATAGAAACCCAAATATATAGTTATAGTTGCTGCGTATCTTATAAGCTCCCTCAAAAAAAAGGCAAGGTGCTGTGTTTTGATTGGAGCTATCCCATATGTGTACAGACTGGGAGAACTCCGTGAAAGCAGCCGTGCAGAGGACCTGGGGGTCCTGATGGACCAACAGTCGGGTATGAGCCAGCAGTGTGTGCCTGCAGCCTGGAACTCCAACCGTATCCTGGGCTGCATCAGAAGAGGAGTGGCCAGCAGAGAGGGGGAGATCATTGTTCCTCTCTGCACTGCCCTCATTAGGCCTCATCTGGAGTAGTGCATCTGATCCTGGGGCCCCCTACACAAGAATGATGTGGAGCTGTTGGAAAGGTTCACCTCTTCTCTGAAGACAGACTAAGGGAGCTGGGCTTGTTCAGCCCGGAGAAAAGAAGGCTCTGGGGAGACCCCACTGTGGCCTTCCAATACGTGAACTTTTTACATGGGTAGACAGCGACAGGACAAAGGGAAAAGGGTTTAAAATGAAAGAGGGGAGATTTAGATTAGATGTCAGGGGACGTGTTTCACTGAGAAGATGGTGAGGCACCAGCACAGACTGCTCAGAGAAGCTGTGGATGTCCCATCCCTGGAGGAATTCAAGGACAGGCTGGATGGGGCCCTGAGCAGCCTGAGCTGGTGGGTAGCAAACATGTCTAAGGCAGAGGGTTGAAACTGGATGGTTTTTATGGTCTCTTTCCATCCAAACCATGCCATTATTCTGTGAAATTACCCTGGACAGTTCTTTTTTTTTATTAAGTAAGGTAATATTAAGATTAATTTTATTAATGTTACGCAGTTTTTATTTTCTCAGGCATCCAACATAATTCTGCCCTCACTGAGGTAATGGAGTTCCACTGCTGACTTGGGAAGAAATGTGGCTAATACTGACTATAACCACCATATGCCCAGGCTACACAGTACATGTTAAACATCAGTAATCTGCTTCAGTATCACAGATATTCAGCAAACTGTGCCCAATGCTTCTTGCTTTGCTCTTTCAGTATGTAGCATCATTCTAATATGATCCACTTTTTAAAATATTGGGTGTTAAAGAGAAACTGTTCTCAGTCAAGTTTACTTAAACTTTATTTAATCTGATCTATAGAAAGCAGGTTCAGAATACATCTGTTTAAGAAAGGAACTGTTTATGCAAAATCAAGCATTTAATCTTTGAGACTTCATTGCTCTCTGACATTCCAGGAAAGTACATGTGTATTTCCAGAAAAGCTAAGCTGCGTATAGCTAAGAAAAAGCAGTGCCTTTATAGTTAAATAAATTGATTTTTCCTCTCACGTCAAGCTGAGTATTTATTTCAGTGTCCTAAGTTTCAAAGAAATTGACACTAACAAGCAATTTAGTATATTCTAAGTTAAGAAGTTAATTTTAAGGTAAGCTAGAATAATGAAATAAAAAAATCAGTCCAAAGCTTGCTTTTTGGAGTCAGTTATTAGCAAAGAGCAGTACACAATGCATGCTGGCCATACCCTTGTTTGAACGAACACAAGGAGACACTAAACTATAGTCCAGATGTGCTGAAGATGATGTGGAAGAAATTTCTGCAGCAGTGCCAGTTTCTTCAATGAATAATTGTTCATGGCATATAGTATTATTTGAAAGGTCACTTTGATCCTCAGAAGCACAGCAGTTGGAAGAATTCCCAAGCAAAGCAGAAGAGGCAAGGCAGGCATTTTCAGTTTTAAAATGTAATCTTTGTTGCTCCTTCTCGTCTGTGCTTGTTTCTCTAATTGTAAAAAGTTCATCAGCGAAGGAAATCCACTGACTCTGAGACCATGAAACAGAGGATAAAGTACTGATACTCCCTGATGGTACTTCTACACCAGATTTGCACAAAGTGCTAATTATGAAGTCTGGTGAGGATGGGCTTCCAGACCCAGAATCTGTCTGGAGTCCAAGCAATGACTGAGATGTTCTACATCCAGGGAAGCCACTGGTAGATGAGGAATTCCTACTGTGCTCTCTTAGAGTAGCTGAAGGAAAAGGTAAGAATTGAAACAGGATGGAATACTGAAATGATAAAATATAAATCCAGACTTAAAAGGTGTATTCAATATCAATATCCTCTGCACTATTATTAGCCCACATAAAAAATAATTGCTCTATTAGGCTAAAAATCACACCACTTACACATATAAGAAAAAAAACAACAAAACATTTATCACATTGGCTTTGTCCAAACCGTCAGACATGTCACTTTCCATTCCTTACGCAAGCCAAGAAGTAATCTATGTTTTTCCTTTCCCCTTAAATCCCGAATTCTCATGATTTTGTTAATCTCTAACTTCTATACCATGTTAAGTTTAACTTCCTCTTGTCCTTTTATTTTCCTTTTTGGTGTCCTAATCCATTTTTATTTCCTTTCAATAGATCTCTCCTTTCAACTTCTTTCAAAACAACTTAGTCCAATCTACTCTCCTACTTTCCTTCCAAACATTTATGCTCTTACCCACATCTGTAGTGGAAAAGCCCAACATAAATAACTGTTCAGTGAATGAATGATGACAATAAAGTCATGAGATGCTACTTGCTTCTTATTTTTCTGATCCTATCAACCCCTTTTTTAGTAAGTCACAGAACGCATGAGGCACCATCTACCCCAATTTATTTTCTGTCATGCCAGAGTCTTCTTCAACCTGCCAGAAAATGAGTTTTCCACAAGTTTTCCCTGCATTTGGCTGTTGCCTGTTGGAGTAGATGACAACAGAAGCAGCAAATGCAGTTAGTCAACTCTTTAATGTTTTGCATATTGGCAAAGCTAAGAGCAACAGCAGAGTGGCACAAAGAATTAAAGAGAGCAATAAATTTAAACGTACACATTAGTAGCATAGGTCTGTAAAGTTTTCTTTCTGTCATGAACAAGAACATGATCTAAGACCAGATAAACAGATACTTAACACAGCTTTCTCTTCCTGACATTTTTATGTATTTTATGTACTTAGGTTCTGAAAACATCATTCAAAGCCTTTCAAATGCAAGTGTAAATCTCATACTAAAACTATGGGGAAATGTGCAGGATTATTTTTAAAATGCCTGTTTATAAAAATGGGGAAGATAAATAAAAAAAGCATTTATGAAGTATCAGTAGATCACTAAAAATGTATGTTGGGTTTGTTCAAGATAATAAAACTAGCTTAAATTCTAATAAAACAGGATTATTCATGGATGACCAAAGTTTACTTCTATGCTGCATAAACCACAGCCTGCAAAAATACCACAGTGGTTTAGGTGTTCAATGATTAACACAATTATGAAACAGTATTCTAAGAAATGCTTTAACAGGAAAAAGACAGAAATATCTGTGGGACGTGATAGAGCATACTTCGTATACAGAGCAAAGAATTTATTGTATATTTCAGCAATTTAAGTTTTGGATTGAAACTGTTAAAACCTTTCAACAGCAGTATTATCTATATTAACATTCAAGTTGGAAATAAAACACTCATTTCTAAAGGTTTCAAAAGAGAATCAGATCAAAGTTGTGTACTTTTAAAAGCTGCAGGGTAATGAACATCAGAAGCTAACTTAATTTAAACAATACGAACTACTGCAATTCAGTAAAAAAAAATAAAAATTCCAAATATATTACTACTTTGATACATTTTGGAAAACTTTCTTTCTATTTAACTGCATGGGTCATTTCACTAATGTAAACAGCTTAGCTAAATCCTAGAACGACAATCCTTTTAATAATTATTTAGCAGAGAAACATTACAAGGGCAAAATATCTAGATATTCAGATATTTCTCGTATCTGAAATTGACTTTCATATCTAAGATTGGCTTATGCCCACAAGGCACTATATTCCACCAGTTTCAATAAAATGTAGGGATTTGCACATAAGCCACTTTTAGGAGGTGCAAAGACATGTGCAGACTCCCCCTGAAGTCTGGCTACTGATCCCAATGATCTGTCACTGCTCATAAGCCAGAAGCTGTTCTCTCCACAGTTCTGCTCACTGAGGAGGGACTGTATGAACTTTTTCTAACCTGCTTTATTCTCCTACCCATGAGTAGCAAAAAATCAACTAATCACAAACCAAGCTTCAGTTGGTAGACATGGCCCTCCAAGTCCCACATTTCAGGCAGTATGTAGGCCTCTGTCTAATACCAGGACAGAACATCATCTGTCCTACAGGATAGTTGTTGGCTGTCTTGAAAGCTATGCCACCAAGTGGAGGAGTGACAGGAGGAAATGAGCAGGCAGTGTAACATCAGAGGGAAAGGACAGAAGCTGGTGACTTCAGGCACTAAAAGGGAAGCTTCTGCCTCTCCTAAAGGCTTACAATTGAGGAGGTTCACTGCCCTCACAGCTGAAGACACGAGCCTACTTGCAGTGAATGTACTACTCCTTAACAATGCCAGCTGGAAGACTACCTGGAAAAAGAAGGTCATATAAAGGGTGACTCCCTGCCGTACAGGGAGTCAAAAAGGACAAAGACATGCATCTATCAACTCAACTAGAGTCAACTAGAGAGGTTTGCTTTCTGCGGGGAGCCTAAATCTAGGATATTGTGGAGGGACTGCTAAAGCTGACCGCTGAACCCTGTAACTACTAATCCCTCCATTCTTCCATGTGAAGTATACATGATACCTCTAATTCATAGTATCAGCACTAACCACAGATTTCTGCTGGGAGCAGTAATCAATAGCATGGGGCTTAGGTTGTCTTCTATGCAATCTTGCTGGTGAGAGCATGAGAAGGGCACTAATAAAACAGGCCAGGAAATCACTGCAAAACTGGTGGCAATGACAGGGTTTGGGGTTCTGTGACCATTAATCCTTGTATATACATCAGCATCTGCTTGGGAAAGATTGAATACACCTCGATTTTAACGTTATTTTTACCACTAGCATAGCTGACCTCATAGGGATGGTGGGGTATGGAAAGAGTAACCAGTGGTCCTACAGGAAGCTGGTGATAGTTGTGGAGCAAACGGAAGAGGAAGAAAGCACAAAATCAACAATATGGGGCTTAAGTGGAGTCACCTTCAGCGCTTGCATGCAAGCGAGGGAACATCTACAAAGCACTGTCATGGAGAGATTCCCCAAACCCTTTCTACAAACATTTCAAGCTGGGGCACCTCTATGAAGTGCCTGTACACCAAAGCACAAAGTATGGGGAATAAACACGAATTAGATATTTGTGTGCAGTTACAGTTCCATGATCTATGACCAAAGCAATAATATAGTTAAAAAAACAGATTATTTTGAGAAAACTTTTTTTCAGCATAATTCACTCACATACATACAATTCACTTCCTCTCAGGTGGTGCAACAACTTTCCCCTCAGCCCCATGTAGCCTCAGTCCTGCCCTTTTCTCCCATTGCCCCGCAGTTCTGCCCATACATCTCATAACAGAATAATGAATTCATACAGAAAACAGACTCTTCACTGCAAAGCGTTATGGAGGCTTTGTACTAGATAGTTCAGCAGCCTCCTCTGTAAAGAAGAAATCCATTCCTGTTCAAAATGGATGCTCAGCTTGGTTCATAGTTGCTGCAATATCCTCCATTTATCTTTCAGCCCTATCAGCAAAAAAAATTTGACTCTGTTTTTCTTTCAGCACAGATAATCAAATTTTGGAAAGGAAGAGAAGGAGAGAAAAAAACAAAAGCAAGATAGAATTTTCCAAAGGTTTCTTGTGTTCCCCCTTCCCGTTTGCTCCCCAGCTTAAAAGCTTGATATATCATACCTTCCGTATTACTCATAACATGGGATATCTTTCATTTTGGCTATTTAAACACATGCAATTACTAAAAAAATAACCACAGAACATCCCAAAGAATATGCAGAAAACACTTTCCTGCTATCAAATATCTCACCTGAGGAGGATGAGGAAGCCAAGGAGGCTGAAGAGCAAGATTCGAGCGAACTGCTAAACAGTGGATCCCATGCCAGAAGGTCACTGTTCCCCTTTCTATAGTAAGAGTTACAATTGGAATATAAATGAAAGGCACACATACTCATAACAGTCGAACTACAGCATTGATAGTTCATCTGTGGCATTCATTAGCTTTTGCATCTAAAAGTAAACGCACTTACAAATTGTAGAACTAGTTTACACATAATTAAACTATATGCATTGACCCCTTTATTACTTTTGGGCAACTTTGTGTATGGACATATGTCATTTTGCCAGTATGTATATGTATGTATTCTCACTTTCAGCAAGACGTACATCTACAAACTGACTTGTTTCAGCAATATATAAGCAATACGTAAACTGTCCAAATTCTGGGCTTGTGATCTCAAGCACTTTGCAGTGGAACACTGTGCAATGGAAACTAAACAAAAAAATCAATAATTTTTGATCATGTAATTTCAAATACCAATTGAGACATCACAAAGAAGAAAACGCATTAGAAAGGGAAAAGAAAGCAAACAAAAATCTTCAATGTTACATTATTACTCTTATTATATTTACTCTTATATATTATAATAGTATATATTATTATTAATAATAATATATATTATATTATTATTATTATATAATATTATATATCATATACTCTTATTATAATTCTTATAATGCAAGAGATGCTTAAAATAGCAGTCATCTGAAAATTTCAACAACTTTCTGAGTACTGGAGAAAAATAAGACCGAATCTTCACCCTCCCCCACCCCCACCCTGCAAACTTAATTTGACATAATTTTAGAAGTTGAACTTACTCATTTGTCGGAGCTGAAAGCTTCGATTTTGTTAACTCCTCACCTAAGCAAAAGACGAAATAATAAGACCAAAGCTATGGTATGGTAAAATATAAATATTTCTGCTTCATTATAAAAATATAGTAGATGTTTATGATTGCTGTTCAAAGCTAATTACGAATTATTAAGAAAATGCATTATTTCAGATAATGTAAATTCAGATGCTCCTGAAATACCTTCTGAAGCAAGGGGACTATACAGAGCAAAGCATTTTGGAAGGAAGTATTTCTTTAAATCACTTCAAATCTCTTCCTCAAATTAAACTGCTTACACTGAGTTTATTCTTCAGCAATTCTGGCTTGTTTTCTCACTTAACAAAGAAAACCAAACAACCTAGAGGACTGAGACTCACACACTCTGCTTTCCTGGTCAGATTTTGTATTTTTGGTTTTAAAACAGACTACTTTGCAACTTTGGGAATAATACTTAAGATGGTAGAAGGGCTCACACAAGAGCAATCTCCATTTGACTCTTGGACTTGTTCTTCATCACAGTCACAGTCTCATCTGATTCCCAGCACATGGAACAGTTAAGTATACAGAAAATGAAGAGATCTTTGGAGGTTACTAGCTGCTTTGAAATTTTGACCAGATAAGCTAGTTTTGTCCTTTGAATTGACTATGAGTAGTTTGTTTGAAGGAAAATATCAAAAAGGTATCCAGAATTGACAAGATAAATATTTTCCTACTTAAAATACTGAGTAAGTTCATTTCTGAAACAATAAAAAAATCTATTTTCATGCTAGATCAAAAAACTAACATAAACAGACTAGAAGTTAATCAGTCACACTTACTGGATGAATTTCGATTCATTTGTGCCTGAAACAGAAGAAGAAAAAAAATTTTTAAACCAATTTCCAAACAGAATGCTTAATAGTCTTAGGGCTCACATTTCCACTCTACTTTCTATGAGATATTTTGCTTTCAGCGCCAGGTAAAACATTCTGGAGCTTATAGAAAACCAGAACAGGACCTGTGACAGAACTAATGCACACTCACAACATGGAACAAGAAAAGGCAGGAAAGAAGACTGCTGAGCTGATAAAGTCAGCAGTATGACTACACAACTTTGCAGGCTAGGTCAGGAAGATGAAACAGTTTTCATATCTCACTGTACATCTGACAGATAAATCATTCCTCAGCTTTTCTCAATACATAGTGTACTATTTTAAGCATAATACATTTTCTCTCACACATAGTACACTCATTTGATTTTAAATTAAAAGATGAATAAAAAGCCATTTTGTACTTACAGGACTGTGTCTCTGCTTTCAAAACATGGGGAAAAATAGAAAAATCACCATTAGTATTTTAATGTTACATATAGTATCTTCCTTGTTATCAAAGCCATCATAATTCTGATCTAAGTATTGTACTAGATAATTCAAAACTATTTGTAGTACCATGGCTTGATGTGAAGGATCATTCTGTGATTAGGCAGAACGCACACAGTGAAGCTGCACCTTACAAACTACACATATTGACATTATATAATCAGTTTTAAAAGTCTGAGCACTCCTAAGACTTACTGGAAAGCTAAAATCTAAGGGAGAATTATTTTATATTGCAACAAAGTGCATTAAGGGAAACTTACTCTGCAATGAAAAGAACTTGAATACAGAATAAGTTCTGGATAGTAAATGGAATATTTACAGTAAAGATTCCTTATGACTTTTCTTCTCATTAAAAATACAAAGAACAAAATTACTTACAGATGTTGCTGGAGAAAGAGCAATGTTCCCTATAGAAACTTTTAATTCATCCAATGAAGGCATAGTGTATTGAGAACTATTATTTGGCTGTACAGGTTTTATTTCTATATGGAACCTCCTGGGTTCATCATCTTCAGAGTCAGAATCACTGGATGAATAGAAATGGTTCTCCTTGATATGTTTTTCTCAGTTAAGGTGGAAATGACAACGGAGTGTCCATGGTACCTCTGCCAAGCATCACTGCAGAGGAAGCAGGAGTAGCAGCCATTACAACTTGCCATTTCTGCAGAGTAATGCTGACAGTTTCACTGCAAAAGATGCCAGTTACACAGAAGGCTGTCCAGTAAATGAAACACTACTGTCAGCCTACAAAGGAATCACAGTGACAACACAGCCTTCAAAACTAGCAAAATATATGTAGTAGTGGTTCTTTATATGATTCTTCATATGCATATAAATTCCATTGGGTAAAAGCTCTGAAAGGTCTACTCTAATTCTTAAAAGTGCATTTATTTTTACAAGAAACAAACTGCAAAACTTCCTGTACTCTAACACAAAAAGTATCTTGCTGTCTGGGTGAAGAACACATAATCTATATATTGCTTCTGTTATTTTCACTTTGAAAAAAGACAGCCATATGAACAAAATCTCTTCAAAGCATTCCCTGACAAATGTCAAAACCCTAAACCCTAAAGGCATTCCAAATCCAATTCAACTGACAGATTCCCTGAGATCTGGTGAAGCAATATTCAGATATCTAAATCTTAGTCTGTTCATCCTCAAAAATTGATTGCATCTGGAAAGCACAATTTTAAAGACAAGTCATTTTTTATTTCAGAAAATTGCTTTCTTTTGAAAGCTTCTGAGTTTCAAGATTCATTTCCTACCCATCAGGCTGTTGTACACAGCTTTTGTAAAGTGGCACAGGCTGACCACTGAAGTCTATGAAATGGTTACTGGCAAAGATCAGTTGAGATGTGAATGCCTTGAAATGAAAGGTCACTTCATGAAAGTTTTTTCAACACTTAAGACTGGCCTTACAAAGCCTGACTGCCAACAAATCATCTTAAGAGTTCCCATACGCAGAATAAATAACCATCCTTGGATGCTATTGGAAGGAAAGAAGAAAACTGATGACTTCCTGAATCTGGCCAAGAGATTCTGAAGCTGTGGTATAACCTAGCTGACAAGGATTGCAAATCACTAAGCTTTGCCACTAGATGTACAGATTTTTCCATTTCCTCATGACAGAAAGGATAATGGAGAAAAGAATGTCTGGGTGAATCATTTACAAAGAATGAACATTATTCACTCCTGTCTCCATTTCATAACTATACATAAAGCATGAAGTAATGACGTTCCCCCCAGAACTGAATAATAGTCTTTCATTTTTATATTGGTTTTGTAAATAAGAAATAATGTGACCGTTTTTACCAGCAAAGCAAACTTCCCTGGGGTCAGCAGAAGAATATTCTGTAAAGTTGATACGAGCAGAGAAGCTCTGAAGGACTGACACACATTAATGTGCTTTCAACCAAAAAAATGTTTTACTATTTAAGGCAAATTCAAGTGTAAGTTTACTTTTTATTTCTAGTCTCTCCCCAGAAAAGCAGAATACATTCCCAAAAATCAGTGATTTTGCTAAGGGATTGCTTAGACCTATCACAAGCCAGATCTCACGTCCTGAGCACAGCCTGTTTCTGACGGGAGAAAGAGGAAAAAATCTTTTTCTTCAGAGAAAGAGCGGAAAAAATCATGAGCTTCCATGAAAAATGACTGATGGCAAAAACTTATCAACTTACACAACAACTGCTAACATACAATAAAAACTCTGTGTGCTGGAATGACTTCACTAAGAAACAGAAGTTCTATTTCTGGACTGTTGGCATTCCTAATCTTTTTAATGATGCTATAAAACCGGAGAGGGTGCAGGTATAGAACCAGTAACTGTTCACCATGTGTAAGATAGTTCTACTTTATGAACTCTCTGAAAGCTTTTCACAGAGAAAGGCCTGCATGGCTACCCTCAAGTTTTTGTTCACATCTTCTCTGTCTTTAGACAAAGAACACTCTTTTACCATTCCTAATACATCAGATTTAAATTTTAACGTTTACACACACACACAGAATCAAGGCTAGACAAAATTCAACATAGTTTGCAGAAACCGTGAACACAAGAATGCAAATTTGAAACACAAGTACCATGACATTTTCCTCTGCTTAACTGTTTAATCAGTATTCTCCCTCTTCAAAAGATTATTACAAGATCAAATAAATTAGCACAGTAATAGTGAAAAGGATATCCTGTGTTGTTTCTGGTTTAATGCTGTATCCTTCATCATCTACATCGGGAATGTTCTAAAACAAAACAACCAAAAAGGTATTGACAAGTAAGTAAAAAAAAAATTCTTACATTCAACTGGATCTTATACAATTGACAAACCGAAATTTGATTATGATGGCTAATTAAAGTAATCACTATTTAACATTAATTATTGCAGTTATTTCAAGTTATTCTCTATAGATAAAAAGTAAAAAATGCAACAAAACAACCTCCACATTTCCTGTGAAAATACATTTCCTGTGAGTCTCAATCACCTCCTTTATTTTGTTTTTTTTTTACCAGTACGCCACCAGTATTTTACCAGTATGCTACCAAAAAGGCCAGAAAATAACAGAAGTATGTTAGGTAAGTAAGCCTACCATTCTTTTTGCCCTAAGTATTTTCCCAGTTTCTACTTCTAATTCCTTCAGTTAAAGCACTGAAGGTTCTGATGATGCAGGAGCATAAATTTACTAAGCACTGGTCAAAACTTCAATATGCGAGTAAAAGCATTCCAGGTTATAACAGCCTGCAAATTTTCTCCCCCTTGGAAAGTCAGCAAGAGTGTACCGGTGCTTCAGCAAAAGGTATCTACATTAAGTAAAAACCACAGATGAAACTTAAAAGACATCTCCAGCACTGGGCTGGATTTTAAAAGCTACTGAACAATCAGGAATTTCAGTTTTTCAGGTACTGCAGATAATTAAATATATAAACTGAGAAAATCGCACTAAAAATATTTTAGAATGCTAGCTAAGGACTTTGTTTCACAAAAGCACTTTGGAACAGAGAGAAACAAGTTTCTAGTAGGATAATCTCAATTCTAATTATATGGGAAAAAAAGCCAAACTTGTTTACATTATATACAGACTGATATACTTTCATATACGGCTAATTATCCCATTCAAAACAGAAGAATAAATGAAAAGACCATGAGTGACTTCATGAACTGAGCTGCCACAAATAAGATTATTATATAAAAAGCAGAACCCACACATCTTCAACATGTACCGATTTTATCAGTTTCAATTTTTAATACAAACATGAAGATTCATACTAAAAAAAAAAAAAAAAAAAAAAAAAAAAAGACGTTTATTCTCATGTACCAACAATTTACCTGTATTGTATTTGAAAACAGGTAGTGGGAGGCAATCTGAATGAAAGCAAACTTTACATTATGGCCAAAATACATCTTTCCGATGTAAGTCAATAGATACAAGAAGATAACTTACACTAGAAACTCCTAGTGAGCTAGAAAACAGCCAGAAAATCTAAAATTTGAACTTGGGTTTAAAGACATATTCAGCTTGAATTGATTTAGATAAGCATAAAACTGCTGTCCTGCAGAAATCACAAATGGGGCGTCTTGTATTTTATTGATATATCCTTCTAAACTTAGCAACTGTGAATTAAATTGAATTAATTTAAATAAAGATCAAACTTTTTGCCAAAAGGATTAAGAAACACTTAAGAATAGGTGACAGCATACCTAATTAGAACGCACATTAAACTACAGACAGTAAAACTGTATAAACTGGTACTATTAAATATAGAAGATTTAGGTGCAATTTCTTTAAACTTCTAAGACACGGCCACACTGCTATTTGATTTAAAAAAAAAAAAAAGAAGAACTGGAGAAAAAAATGTAATAAGAGTAGGATCACACGGTCCAGTACCTTAGCTCTACTTGCTCAAATCAGGGTTCTTAGCTACGCTTGACCTCAGGCCGACCTTGTTTATATGCCAAAAAACACTAATGAAACCTGACATCCAAGTAAACAGAACAAAAACATATAGCTAGAGGGTTCTTACATGTTCTTACTGCAACTTCTGAATTCTGCAGTTGTTGTAATAGTAAATTTTCAATAGATAAGGATCATTCATGGTTAAGATGAATTGAAAAACTGCAAAAGTCTTTAAACATACAACATTCAGTTCTTCTTCCAGCCCAGGCATATATGTAAAAGATATTATTACTGGGGAGATGCAACACAAACAACAGAGTTCACAAATATGCCTGCTTTGATTTAAAATTGGGAAAAAAAACCTTTGTTTGCAGAAAATGTTCTCATTGCACTATTTTAATCCATTCTCTAAAATAAATTGCATCTGTCAAAGGTACTGAAATCTTAATATTCTTAAAAGTATTCAATTGCCTAGCATTTTTGCCTTAACTACTTCTGATCTAGCAAAAATATTTGTAACAACAATTTATGAGCAATGTCACTTCATTGCTTGTATGCCTAACTTCAGGTAAAAAGTCAGCTAATATGCTCATAACAGAATTTGACTTGTAATTCTTTCTTCCTATTTTGAAATTTAAATATGTAATTTGAAATTATGGACCTTATATACTGTAAGCAGAATCAGAAATCATTAGCTTTATGTTTCCAGGTTTCTCAGTGATTCAGATTGATTTTGTAAAAAATTCTGATCACTCAACGCATTTTCTGCTTTCTACAATACTGAAACTGTGTTTTTGTATAAACTATTAAAAAAAGGGTGGGTACCAACTGTGTCATATACGAGTAGCATGTTAACTAAAAATCTTACAGATTAATTCCAAAATACTGTTTTCACGGAGAACTGCTTTCCTTACTTTCTAAAACATGAGACTATTATTTACTAATATCAAATTTCTTAACAGCAGCAGAAGATACAGCTCTTCGGGTAAATTACATATTCACAAATTTCATATTAAGGAAGATATTTGCATTTAGTTTGATAAGCCTCCTCCAAACTCCTAAAAAGACAGAACTGCAAGTCAGGTGTGTCTTTTAAGTACCAGGCATGCTATAGTCAAGTCCTGATTTGCCAACCATGCAGAAATGAAGAAAAAAAACACAACATCCACTTCTGAACTTCATCACAGAGGAAGATCATCTTTGCAAACTTTGGTTTTACCATAAGAAATAGTTATTAGTATGATTAGGAATTCAGGTTTAGCCTCTCCATAATAACTCTATTTGTTTCCAGGAAAAAAAAAAAGAAGCTCAATATGGATATGACTTGAATTCTGGATGTTTGCAGATGTGATACAACACACGGATTCATGTCATATATAATTTCAAGTATATATATACATACAGGCATACATATACATTTTTATATGTATGTATATGCATACTGGTAAAAGCATACATGTAACAAAAATACATTTATAACTTTTTCTTGGCCTTAGTAAGTTTCACAGACTTTCTGGGCTGAATTTCTTTTTGAAGAAATGTAACAAAAGGACATAATAAATAACGAAGTAAAACTGCAAATACAAGAAGTATGAGGGCTTGGAATTCTATTGCCAAAACTCATTTTCAGAGTTTTAGTGAACACTTTGTTAACTAATTAAATGTTATGTCTCACCTATAATCTAAAAACAACGGGAGAAACCAAAGTGCTACCATGTCACTGATTCCTTAAAGGTAGATAGGAAGTAAAAGAGAAGAACATTTGAAGTATTTTGCAGTCTAGCTATTTCCTTTGTCCCTTCATCAGCAACAGAAGCACTGCTCATAGCTCAGTTACTGGGCCAAAAAATAGATTTAAATGAACTTCAGCAAGATTTCTACCTTTCTTCTCCTTTTGGCAATCTACAATGATTATGAGAGCTTCTTATGTCATCTTCCTCAAAGTATGCAGCAAATTACGACTGAGCTGAACAGTTTACTATTTCTTTTTTTTCCATAGGAATTCTCTGCCATTTTACCAAAGACTGACTTCTTTCTGCACATTCAGGTGGAGCAAAATCAAAGTAAGCAGTTGATGCTTGTAGCCTGAAAGAGCAGGAAAAGGAGCCTCTCCACTTTTAATAAATTTGAGATGCCAATTTGACCCAGGTAAACCCTGGGTACAAAGGTTTGAATGACATTCTCAGGCTCCTCTCTTTAGGATACCTAATAACACATACACACGCAAAAACCCACAGCAACACAGAAGAAGAGAGTGGCCAGTCATTTTGTCCCATTGACAGAGATGCAAGAAGAAAAACAAGGTATTTGGAGTGTTCCACCTGCAACTGTGGCTAGAAAGGCTCATACCCTGTAATAGCAGCAGCTATTCTAAACTGTGTCAGTCAGAGATAAATATTACAAAATGTAAGCAAAAAAAAAAAAAGACTGAATAAAGAAATTTATAATTATGGTTATACTTATTCTCCATAAATTAAGAGTACAGTACTTCCAAATTGAGCCACTTCTTATCAATAAAAAGTCTACAAATCTAGATAATCTGAATTGTATTATACATATGAGGTTAATGAAAACTTTTGGATGCCTCAGTGTATTTGTTTTCATTATAGTTTCCTATATAATAAAAAGGTTCAGCATTACACTCTGTGCATTTGTGACTCCCTTCTTAATTACTTTTGAACTTACTGGACAATTTCAAATGGATTTGACAGAACAGAGAACTCAAAGATAATTGCATTACTACAGTTTTCATGAAAAAAAGCAGTGAAGTAGAAGAGAGGGAGCTGCTAGTATTCCAGACGGGAAGGTCCGCAATCAAAACTCAGACCTTACTGGACACAAGTGAAATCCTGTAAACACTTTACCAAAAGAAAAGGTTCTGCTAGAGCTTTTAACTTCCTGTAGACCTAGGAACACATCAAACCTATTAGTTCTGCCCACGTAGCAACTTGCTAGGTAATGAACATGTATACACAGCCAAACTTCAGCTGTTATCTCTTTCTTGTATACACACTGTTAGCTGCCTATTTTCTTAATTATCAAGGCTAAACTTAATGGAAGTTACATGCTCAGACTGACACGTAACAATGCAGGAATTTTTAATCTGCATTATTCATTTTGGACTGGTGAGGAGAGCCCGATGGAACTTGCCACTTAATGTATGTTCAAAGATCCACAGTATCACATAGGACTGGTAGATCAAGTATTTAAGTCAATTCTTACTTGATCTTTAATTTCTAAAAATACAACGTATGTAGCTCAGTGTGTACAATCATAATTGCAGCTTGGTTACCTCCTACAACCCTCCCTCTGAAGAGAAAAACAATTTAAATCCTTGACAAATTAACAAATGCCATCTTTTAGAAAAGATAACATTAATACAAAATCCAGAGGATGAGATTTCATTGACTGACCAAAGATGAAATTCACAATCTTAATCATAATTAAGGGGCACCTTAAGTAAGTTGAATTTTCTGAGAACTCATCTTTAGCATTTTCTAGCAATCAAATAAAAAATAACAGTCATGGACTTTGCTATTAAAGCATTCTACCACTTAAAATGGTAATGTTGCTGGTAAAAAGCAAGAAGAAATGACAGATCAAATTTTAAACTCTGAATACATGAAAAAAAAGATTTTGCATTAAAAAGAAGAGAAGGTTAAGAAACTGTTATTGCTGTTAGATGATATGAAAGCTAATTTTTTAAAATAACTGTATTTAGACAGATCAATTAACTTAAATGATTGTAATGGTCTTCCTCATGCAGCCAGAAAGAACATCAGATTCATTTACAGTTTAATTAATTATTCTCTAAAAATGTAGAGACCAAAATAAGCAAGGAAGAAAATAAACACTGCAAGTCAAACCCCCTTGTGTTTCACTCCAGTGACTCAACCCGAACTGTCAAAAGAAATTATTTCATTGAAAACCCTGATAATTACAGGGATAATTCTAAATTTACATAGCTTTAAATGTACCCAAGAAAAAAAAAAAGCTTTAAACCAAGATGACTTTGTATAGGATGAAACAACTGTCTCATATGACGCTTACAAGGCTCTTCATAGACAGACAGTTATATTAGGTAGCAAAATTAACATTTCTTTATTTAGAAAGAAGGTCATAGTAGATTTTTTTTAAAAAAACAAATTACTCAAAAAAAAAAAAAAAAAAAGCTTTTTAGTAGGTACTGAAACCTACAGACACTATATGCAAGGAAGAAATTTCTACAACAGTTGAATTGGAAGAGTTAAATTGCCTAATATAGTTGGCATGTAAGTGAACAAAAAAACATATAAGTCTCTAGAAAGTCTCTTAAACAATTCTGTAAATTACTCCCTACCATAGCTACTGGAAGCTCCGATCTCCATTATATGTAATTCAAGACAACTGACATGTTTCAATAAAAAAAAAAGGCTCAATTAAGTGTTAACATTTACTGCTTATTTTTATTAAAAAAAAAAAAAAAAAAGAAAATGTAAGTCATGGCACTGAGAGCAATGAAGAAAAGACCATGAAAAAAAAAGAAATACTACGCTTAAAGCAATATTTTTAAAAGTATACTGCTATACTCTATTGCAAGCAGTCAAGCAGAACTCCATTAATTTCAGAAGGGTTGTTCATGGAGATAGTAATAATGCAGAGGAATGTGACGATGCACAACTGGATCCTCATGAAAACATACTGAACCTTTAACTCACTTGGAATCTATCAGTCAAGCAGTTCAAACTACTAACTCGCAAAATAAAGTAGCAAATCATTGTTGTAAAAACATCCTGTTTAAAACCTGAAATGGATGGAAATACAAACATATTAAAGATGAATGTCTTTATGTACTGTGAAAGATTATGTTCTGAGTGAAAGTAACACTTCAATTATGTTAGTGAAACACTAAATCCTCTATCACATAAATAACACTTAGCAGGGCCTGTATGTAAATTGCAGTGCCTGACAATGTTAGCATACACATTTGTGTTAGAAATGAGTCTACTTACAACTGAGTCTGCATCTGGACACTCCCTATTAAAAAAAATAAAGAGAAGGTAAAATTACAAAACACATAAATGGTTTTATTCATACAGTCTCAGTACTTCCTTCCTTTAATAATTTCAGTTAATTTGGAACATTGTGTTTGACTCATTTGCCTCACAAAGTCTGTTAAAATTTTTACTGTATTATCTACACGTGACTGGATGAGACATAAAAGAAAAAAAAAAAAAAAAAAACCTCTAAAAAAATTATGCTGGAAACTCCACAGAAGAAAAATTCACAATAAATAATGAAAAACCAAACTCACATCGTAGTGAAGACAAAAAGAATCAATGGAAGGCAGGAGTTCCACATTCTATTTTGGATGAATACACTTTAAGAGTCAGGTCTCTGCAGATTATGTGCACAGTAAGTAAAAGTCACCAACGCTAATGAAACATTTTGTATGATAACCAGCTCTTAAAGCAATTAACACTATTCCTGAAGTTATTCAGATCTTTCCTCCTTGGGAATTTCAGTCCTAGTTCATGTTTGTTAAGTACAATTAGAGTCAAGCACCAGAAAATGCTGGAAAAACAAAAAGTATCCTAAAAAACCCTCTGAAAAAGTGTTTGATAGGAAGGTAATGATTACAAAAACATTTATATATGTTATATTCCTCCGCATTAACTTGGATTAAAGCAGTAAGAGAGAATAAACAGAAAGAGAAGGAATTACATTTGAAGAATGTGGTAATGCTTCAGGAGCATACAGGCCCTCTCTAATCAGCACCTTGACAAATAACACTGTAAATGCAAGTGCAATTGAAAAACAGCATTTTGATGCAGTCAAATTAAAAACGAAAACAACTTAAGGAAAACAGAGAAAAAAACAAACAAGCAAAACAACCAGACATGCCACAGAGCATAACGAGGGGAACAAAGATGCAAAAACACAGCTTATTTTTGTTGTTGTTATTGCTGTAGATGCTCTTCAGCAAGAAACATGCATACAAAGCTTACCCAAAATCATGCCACATTAATGCCAAAAATCAATGTTAACAACAGATTCAGGCAAATAAGTTCCAGATTTGGAAAAGATGCATCTTACACTATAGTTATTGTATGTACACTACACCACAAGCTTTACTTAACTAAGTATCTTAAGTTTTAGATCAAGATTTTAGCTCACAAGATTCAAGATAGATAACTGAGATTGAAATTTTAAATGTTGTACAGCTGATTAATGTAGCAAACCTTATTTTTGTGTTAGCTGATTCATTACCACTGAAGAAAAAGCTTATCTTTCATTATTTCAGTACTAGTGGTAAGTGGACTACATGACGTTGGAGGCCTGCTTCAATCTCAGTGATTCTATGACTCTACAGTTCTATGACTCCCTGAAAGGTTAAATGGGTTAAATGTAAAAGCTACAGCATCTTTCAAAACAGGTATGACAATTTGCTAATATGGAAGGAAGAATACAGAATTCGGTCCAGCCTGTTATGGTACTGACAGTGAGATGAAGGATTCTGTCTTTTCTGAAAGGCTGCCCACAAAAGAAAACGTGTGAGTCTAATCGTCCTATGTCTTATCTCCCCCTACTGGTTAAACTGATTTCGCTATTCTAAACGCTACTTCGCAGCCTCTAGAGACAAAGTACCCAAAAGATTCAAAGTGCTGGTGAGGTGGAAAACAAAGACAACAGGTTTTAGATGGACGTACTTTTACACTGCTAGATGCACGACCTTTTACGATTAAAGGACCAGGTCATGCTTTTACTGTGAGGTAATATATTTTGGAAAATGAGAACTTTGTGAGGGAATCCATGGATTCTAGCTGATAACTAATTCAAACAGAATAGCAGTGAAACACTTGATTGAGTCTGTACAGCAAAACATAATACACCATACTGTGCATGACATTTACCTGTGCAAAAATACTGCTAGGTACAATGCCCAGTTTAGATGTCAACACTTCAGAGACTGATAAATTTCTCACATTACTGATAAATTGAAAAGCCTAGAAACCTGGAGTTACTTATTCTAGGTTTGGAAAGTCAGCTCTACACAAGCAAAATAAGCTGCCAGTCCAATTTAATATGAGATTAGGAAATGAGTTGACCTCTCTGAACAGAAAATTTTCTTATGCACAGTTCTATCATGCAGAGTCTGTAAGCAGAACATCAGCTGAAGATGAAATCAAGCAAAATTTAGACAAGCAATAAGGAGATGGTAAATGATTATTAGAATATTTTACTTAAGAACTTAATGGATCCTCTTTAACTTATTAACCAAATATTAAAATACATGATGTAATATATGTGATATGATAAATTAGGTATTAATTTTGTAAAAAATCTATGGCATGTGTTATGCAGTAGGTCAGTATCATGCACTTATACTTCTTTCTTACTAACCTCAGCATCTGTTCATTTTTGCATTGTGAGTAAAAATAGAAACAAAAAGTGTAATACAAATCAAGTTCAACTTCAAATTGTTGCAATAAGGAAACTTATTTTCCCATTTCAGAGTGGTTGCACCAATTTTAGTTGTCTGACAACATCACTACCTAATGAAAAAAAAAAAAGGTCTCCCAGAAAGAGACACACATACTATTTTTCTATGTTAAACATAATGTATTTGAGAAAAGGTAGCTTTTACAAAAGCATTCTGAACCATGAAAATTTTCTTCTGTTATGGGTCAAGGATACATCTGAGACAAATGAATCTGGAGCTTCCTGATCTTTACTGGCTCCAGAAAGTAAGTCTTAAATTTTCCTGGAGGCAGGTTAAACGTATCTGACGAAGAATGAATGGAAGGAGATGCTTGGTTTGCAAGCAAGTTAATGACATACATGACAAGAGATCAGCTTGTGTAATAACTCATTTAGTGGCAGGGGTTTTTTTTGTTGTTGGAAAACTACAAAATTCAATCATATAACAGTATTCAAAACTCAATATGCAGAATCACAACTTCGTAATTAGGTAAATGCAAAGAACGAAAGGCAAATGAATGAGCATACTGCTGCTCAAAGTTGCAAGTCCAGCATCCCAAAAATGTGTAGTAGATCACTTTTTACAGAGATTATAATTTCTAAAACATGTACAAAAACTACTTAAAACACTAATGTAATCAAATATTTATAACACTCTAAGTATTCTAAACTAAACCGTAAAAAAAATCCTCATACTCTGTAATTGTATTCCTAAATTTCTGCTGACCAAAACCATACTGTATATATTTACCTCAGCATTTACTTCAGCATAAAAGAATACCGAAGAGAGTGCAGAAGAAGGACTAAATCACAGAACGGAAATACAGAGGGATGACTTAAAACATGTGACAGCCTGGAGCTTTAGTTACATCTTCACAGCAAAAAGAAAAAACACGGTTTTGAAGTACATAACTGTTAAAGTTAAACACAAAAATATCTGTAGGACACTTCATACATGTAAAAAATCAAATCTTAGGTAATTAATTTTTTCAGCACTTAAAAAAATTAACTTAAAAAATTATTTCCTGAAAAATAAAATAAAAGCTTAAATAGCTACAAAAATTGTGAATATCTATGACATTTTCATATTGTCAGAACTCTTCTAAACATGTTATAACACCAACTTTCATTAAACATCAGCTCACTCCATACTTGCACAGGTTTTCATGCAAGATAGAACTTCAAGCTGGAAATACACTTACACAGATTCAGTATCTTTTTCTTTTTTCATTATTCCTGATAAACCAAAAGGCTTCCTCTTCCTTGGTTTTATTCCTGCAAAACAAAGCACTTACCATTTAAAGATCAAAGAGAAGGCATCTAGCACCGCCAAACACTGGTGCTCATCACTATGAACACCTTCTGAACAGTGATACAATGATTCATACAAACAGACAGCGATGGAAGTTGTACCGCGCGAAACAAAGGGAACACAAAATATCTGTAATATTTTCCCCATATGCTATTAATTAAACACAAATAAAAAAAAAATAAATCAAAATACAGTTAAGGCAACACACTGCTACTGTACAATTCTCAGTGTTCAGTATGTTAGACTGTTAACTCTTTTACAAAAGACTGAAGCATTGCTAGTTTTGAAGAAAGGGAGTCTACTCACAGAAACTCAACAGGAGCTATTTCTCCAGCTGAACAGTCATGGATCAGAATCATGGACAGAATAGCACTTGGATCAGAAGCCAAATCTGCCTCTATCAGCACTGCACTTCAAAACCCAGCTCTTACTTCCCTGAATGACCCTAGTTGCTGCAAGCCACCGATTCTCCTAAGAAGTAGGATCTTTATCCCATAAAAAAGTGAACATCACTTGGCTTTCCTGCTTCTGCTGACTTCATGACTTTCCAGTGCTGCTGCTAGTACTGAGTCTGGGGTCATGCCTCCCCTCCTGACTTTTTTGTCTCACTTTTAGCATGGTTACATATACCTAACTGCAGTACAGAAAAAAAGTTCTTATGCATAACCATTTAACATGCTAAAATCAAAACACATTTAAATATTCCATCACTGCCATTTCTGCTTCTCTCCTTACTTTTTTTTTTTTGCTGCAGCTAAGTATTCTGTCTCACTTTAAACAAAATGTTTACTTAAGTGCAAAGATCAGATGCAATGAGTCTACAGTTTCGTTTTGACTTAATACACTGCCTGCACCAAACTTTTGAGAAGAAAGGTGGACACAGTTTACTTCCTAAAAATTTTAAAACTGATAGTTCAAGTGTATCATTAAAATAACATTAAACTTTCCTTCATAGAAATACACTACAAAGGCTGCTCTGAAAGTAAGGCCCCCTATTTAATGCTGTTGTTCCAGGATATCAGAGGCAGATGCTGGTGGTTTGTCAGTAGAGGTTGAACCCACTTACATCCATTGACACTTGCTGAACACTTATGGCGATCAAATAGTGAATGTGAGGACAGTGAGGCAGTGCATGGTGCATTTTGGCAGTGGCAAACGGGTAACCAACACTGGTGCAGATGCTTACAAGTGTAGCATGCAGGCTCATGTTCATCAGTGGTGAAAATGCATAGCTAATAGGTGTGACTCCTGAAAAGCAGTGTTCTGTAGCTGAGAATTAGCCAAATCAAATAGTGTTACAGTGCTCTTCGTGTCTGATGTAGTTTCCATGGAAATAAATCGGAGGCATTACTTTTGGAGTGACTTCCATACGCAGCACATAAGGAATCTCTCCACTCCTGGAAAACTTATGGGTGAAATACTTCAAAATTTCTGAAATCAGGTAGCTGCAAACTTAGCTGTATCTTATGTTTCCACAGGGGCACAAATAGCTCCAAAATTATTTTAAAACGTTAGTCTGACATTCATACCCAGCTCAAAACAACAACAAATAGAATATCGGAATTGTTTCTTGATAGGGATTCCCATTATTTCAGTCAAAAAAAAGCTTTAAGTCTCAGCTGCAACCTTGGCAACTTCAGAACTGTCGGCCAGTACAGCTATTCTGTCAGCTCCTCTGCTCCAAGACTAAATACATACGCAAATAAAACAGTTCTTAACCACTTTAAACAATTCCCTAAGTAAAATAAGTTACACCAACAAAGGAAGGATCTGCGACCATAACACTGCATTAAAATTGGTACAACAAACATGACAACAATGGAAAGAGCCTGAGCCATATTTTGACACTCATAAATTAAGTTACACAGACATAACTGAACCAAATCCAAACCTCTCAAAACATAAGGTCTTAGCAAATGTACATTTATAATAAACATTAACATTCTCTGACAATGATGCATTAGGCTTATAAAAAATTACTGTAGGTCTTATTTTCTTTTAAATTTGTTTCTCAAAATAATAACTGCTTTTTAGCCTGCTAAAATACTTTCAAGTTAAATACATTCACAAGACATTTACTGTTTGCTCCTCAATTTCAGATACTACGTACTGCAAATAACTGCTAGAATAACTCACCTTCAACTGCACTGGATGTATTACATTCCTCAAATTCGATAGGACCTTAAATAAATTAGAATGAAAATAAACATTAGATTAAATTCAATTTCAAGTGAAAGTCAAACACTAAAACATTTTATCCACTGCTAATATTTCCTGAAAACATTAGATAATCTATTTAGGATTTTAAATGGTAAAGGAAAACCTCAGTGGCCAATGGTCAAACAGTTGATTAAATCTTACACATAGTGCATATCATTAAGTATTTTTACTCCTTCACAGTGAAAAATTATAATTCTAATGCACACTGTCCAAATATAATTTAATATCCTACATTATTACGACCAGGGTTCCTTCTCTAAATCCAAATTGTATATGAAACATAGTATCAATGTAAAGCTTTAGATTTATCTTCTTTTAATAGAAGAGCTATGCAAAGAAAAGTGAAAAAAGAAAAAAGGATAGCCATAGCCCTAATCTTGAGGTTCACATTCTTTCTGATTTATTTCCTCTGCTTCTTCTTCATAGCCAATTACCCGGACAATTAGAAGGGATGTAAAGAATCTTAAACACAGCAACAAAGAAAGCAAAAACTTCAAAGAAATCACAAAGACTGAGCAAGACAAAACAAAATAAAATCAGTACTGTTTAAGTGCAGCATCTAAGTAAGTTCACTATTATAATTTCCTGTTATATTTGACACAAGGTGAAAGACAGGTGTCATTGCAAAGGGCAATTTTAACCCTCATTCCTTCAATCAAGCTAAGTCTAGAACTTGTTTAGCTCCAACACAGACCATTTTAGGAAGGTGGGCTGGCAAAAGAGCAATGGATTTCAAAAAGACATTGGCAGGGGATTAGAAAGAATCCCACCAGCACTTGAGCTTGTGTTAAGAAAGCAAATAACAACAAGAATAGGGTCCGTGGGCCACGCTGAAAGAGCAGGCCGCAGCTGCAGCCACAAAGGTGAAAACAACGCTGAGCACAGTCACACGGGACACGGCGCTTATCCTCACATTTTCAGGGACTACACACAAGCTCACAGGTACACGCATTATGGAACAGTGTGCTTCCAACCCTGCAAGGCAGCCAATCTTTCCTTTTCAGCCTCTTCTCTAATTCTGTTTACCAGCGCTGCTCCGAAAGTAATGCCTCCTATTTTATGATACTGCCCCATGATGTCATAGGCAGATGTTGGCCGTTTGTCAGTAGAGGCTGAACCTTCCCACCAATATTCCATTACGTGTTGTTACGATGAGGCAGATGGCAGCAGAGGGACACTGACTAAATGGTGTCAATGAATTCCTTCATGTGGAAAAAAATGGCACCCACTGACATTCACTGACACTTGCTGAATGTTTGTAGAGATCAAACAGTGAATGTGAGGACAGTGTGGCATTGCATGGTGCATTCTGGCAGTGGCAACAGCAGGTCACCCACACTGGTGCGCGTGTTTAAAAATGCAGCATGCAGGCTCATGTTCATCAGCAGTTAAAATGCATAGCTAATGGGGACTCTTGAAAAACAGTATTTTGTGGCTGAGAATTTGCTATATCAAATAGTGTTATTGTGCTCTTTGTATCTGTTGCAGTTTCTTATGGAAACAAATATAAGGCACTACTTTTGGAGCATGCTACATATTTCAACACTGCTGAAAGGGAGGCTGAAATGTTGAAAATTTTGATTGAAAGAACTGGAAATAAACTAATTCTGAAAACTTCATATATAGAAACTGTTTTCACTCCTAACCCTAAACAAATGTGACAGTAAATGCTCCAATTTACCTTTTCAATGAAATTAATGTTATTCTAGAACACCTGCTAAAAACCCAAAGGCTATGCAATTTTCAGATGTTCACATAAAATAAGAGGTGTGCTTGCAAGCACTCTCCAGTGTTCTCCCCGGCACACTTTTCAAAATGATTGTGATAATTCTGAGTCTCAAAAAAAATAGTTGATATAAACAGATCTTAGAAGAAAGATGAAGAAGTTTGATTTAAATAGTACAAGATAGCAAATCACTGTGCTGCAATTAAAAATGCCACAATAAAAATTAAAAAAAAAAAAAGTAGCTATGAATTAGAATTGTGAATTGCACAAGAACTTCTTTACAGTGAGGTGACGGAGCACTGGAACAGGCTGCCCAGGGAGGTGGTGGAGTCTCCTTCTCTGGAGATGTTCCAGACCTGCCTGGATGCCTACCTGTGCGACCTGCTGTAGGGAACCTGCTTTGGCAGGGGGGTTGGACTCGATGATCTCTAGAGGTCCCTTCCAACCCCTACAATTCTGTGATTCTGTGATAAATATTCCAAATTCCTTCAAAGCTCATCCTTATTTCAGGTACCTTTCATTTTCACTCCAGCACAAGCAGAAAATAGAGACTAATATGTTGAGCGTTAAAACACATTGAAATTATACACATTTGTCTCTGAAGGTAAATTTTTATTTCAGTTTGTTAACGTCTTAATTTCAAGAGATACTTGTGCTTAGTACTTAGAAACGTTAGTACTTTAGAAGCACTTCCCCTAGTTCACATCAGTCTTTCAACAATGTGTGCTTTCTTTACATGGATTATTGTAAAAATTGATTTGAAATATTTTTTGTCATTTGTTGCATTTTTTGTCAACTGTTGCAGACCGTAGCAAGATAAAAGTGCAATGAATTTCGGCAAGCAGACCTTACAATGCATTAAGATCTACACATGGAACATTAAATGCACTTTCTTCCTAATGATACCAGCTGGATTTATGTTCCCTCAAGATTCTACCCACATGCTCATTCCTTTCCCTGCATCTTCTAGATGCTTCATTGCAAGAAGATAAAATATCTCATGAAAACAGCTTTCTCTTACAACAAATTGTTTGAAACACCTGAAGTTCTAAAGAAACATTTAATCCTAACTTACTTTTTCTATCCAGTTCAAATTCCTGTATAGTTCTTCATCTTTTGGAATTTCATAAGTTTACAACACTCACGGATACCACTAATGAATCCACAGACTAACAAATAAAGGTTATCGCTTTGTTCCAGTATCCAAGGATGTTTGCTATTTTTTATTAATTTGTATTTAATCTGCTCCTGCCATGTTGTACTGTTTGCTGATAGCAAATGCAAGCAAGGGCAAATTCACACATTTGCGTTTTTGAGCAGAATACTGAATTCTGCAGTAGCTCTAAATTTTCAAGTTTTCATTCTCAAGTTTTCTTCTGTAACTTTAGATCTCTCAACAGTTCTGTTCCCTGTATGCCTGCTGTAAAGAGCACACTTTGCCTGGGGTGTAGTATTCTTAAACCGAAATAACATTTCAGAAATAGACATTTAATGTGGCACTCCATGGTGAGCCAATTTAGAAAACAGAATAGCTGTGATGAGCTTTTGGTAGCTAGAAAATAGTTGGAGCTTCTTATGAGCAGATGGCTTTGAGCCAAAGAGGTAATAACACTGTCATCCAGCTAGAAAGCAGTGTGTACTGTGGCTGCACTGTCTCCCACTATAACTAGATGCAGTCTCCAAGCCAGACAAAAGGTTGTAGGCACACAGTGCTATGGAAGAAAAGCATCAATAAGGATTTCAGAGCTTTCTTAAGAACACCCCAATGTCCACTTTTGTCCATCTGGAAAACAAAAGAATCTGTGCCACCACTACAAAAAAAAAATCAAAAAACTTCCTTCTCTGAACAAGCAAATCCTCTAACTTTCTAAATCCTGCTTTCTTAATCATTAATTAATACACTCCAAAAAATTGATGGAGATTTCCAAGTAGGTGTAGTATACAGATGCATGTCAAAGCATGAAAACTCACGTGCTGGTATGACAGTAACCTTCACAACAGCTAGATGGTGATGTGGATGCACAACCACTTTCTCAGGAGGAAAGTAGTCTTCTTAACATACTTGTGCACAAACACTGAAGCACAGACAACAGGTTAATTCCAACAAAACCCATATGACTGACTTAACAGCACGGATATTTCTGCTTACAGAACCTAACACTTCACAGTCTAATCTCTGAAATTTCCAAAGGAAGGATACCAACAGACTTTCCACTGCAACATCCAAAGAAAAGCAGTCATTTAACATTTAACAGGTATTGGTGATGACAGAACCAAAGCCATACCCTGAAGCCGACATTTTTCTGGAAGTCTCAGGAATGCTTGCCACATGATAGCCCAAAGCATTGAAAAGAGCTTTCCAGATCTTACTAAACTGCAGTAATAATGATAATAACCTGCAGTACCACAATCAAAGCACAGTGATTTCCTCTGTTCCTTTTTACGTAAAAAGAAAATAATGTGAATTAGAAGTAAGCCTATTCTCCAGCACAGCATTAGAACTAAAGTAAGACTGTGACAATCAAACATATATTTTAAGACATTTTAAGTAAGTAAAAATTAACTGCTAAGATCCAGCCCACCTCTAACGAAAGACTTTGCCTCAGTGTTCTAGTTTAGAAATGACTAGGTTAAGGTTCCACATAATTTTCTTGAAGTCTAGTCTGCCTGTTGCTAAGCTGACAAATAGAACAGTATCTCAGTGACTTAAGTGTCTGAAATTCCTGCTCAGAAACTTTAAAACTAATAGGCTTACTTGATACCCATATAGAGGGTAGAAAAAAAATAATATGTGTTGCCTAAATATAGATTAGCCTTTACAATAGAGATATGAATATCCCATGGGATTTCAATCTCTTAAGAATACATAACCAGCTACCAGGATGGAAATGAGAAATTAGTTCCTGCAACGGAGGGAGCCAGAAAATTCAGTAAGCTACTGTAATTGTACATAAACATTCTCATGAAGCATTCTAAAACATTTTCAAATCCAAGCTGCTACAGTTCACAGCATGCCACTTGCAGGAACAGACACAGATAGGCAGAAAAGGCAAATGGGCAATGGTTTTATAGACACATGGAAACAAACAGCTGCTACTTGACAAGAGATTGAAGCAAATAAATCAGCAGTGCATCAGTTCATCCTGTTCACTGGCTCCTGAAAATGAGGAGGCTGTGGTTTGCTATAATAGAAAAGCATAATTTGAATAAATGGACACTTTCCATTTTAATTAAC